AATTAATCACGGTGTTCGAAGTGAAATTGATAGGAACCCTACTGTATTCCTACTTAATTTATACAAGCAGAAAACTCCTAAGTCAAATGAACAAAAGACTAATTTGAATTATAAAAGCAGAGAATGCACAACCTCTCTATTTCCAGATTTGAGCCAGTTTACAGATGCAGAACCCCTTGAATGAAGGGGAGGCCTGGTCCTCCTGAGGAAGGACCCCAATACATTACCAACAATTTATGCAGTGAATCTTTCTTACATCCTTCCCCAAGGAGACCTCTGGCCTTTTACCAGGGTAACTGTGCAATGGGGAGAGGGAAATTATCAGACATTTCGGGGACTACTGGACAGTGGCTTTGAGCTGATGTTGATTCCAGGGGACTCAAAACGTCACTATGGTCCTCCAGTTAAAGTAGGGGCTTAGGGAGGTCAGGTAACTAATGGAGTGTTAGCTCAGGACCAACTTACAGTGGGTCCAGTGGGTCCCTGGACTTATCCTGTGGTCATTTCCCCAGTGCAAGAATGTATAATTGGCATAGACATACTTAGCAACTGGCAGAACCCCCTCATTGGCTCCCTGACTGGTAGGGTGAGGGCTATTATGATGGGAAGGGCCAAATGCAAGCCATTAGAGCTGCCTCTACCTATAAAAATATTAAATCAAAAACAATATTGTATCTCTGGAGGGACTGGGGCAATTAGTGCCACCATGAAGGACTTGAAAGATACAGGGGTGGCGATTCCCACCACATCCCCGTTCGACTCTCCCATTTGGCCTGTGCAGAAGACATGTGGATCTTGGAGAATGACAATGGATTATCATAAGCTTAATCAAGTGGCGACTCCAATTGCAGCTGCTGTACCAGATGTGGTTTCATTGCTTGAGGAAATTAACACATCTCCTGGTACCTGGTATGTAGCCATTGACTCGGCAAATGCTTTTTTTTTCATTCTTGTCCATAAGGCCCACCAGAAGCAATTTGCCTTCAGCTGGCAAGGTCAGCATATACATTTACTGTCTTACCTCAGGGGCATATGAACTGTCTAGCTTTGTGTTATAATTTTATTCAGAGAGACCTTGATCACTTTTCGCTTCTGCAATCACACTGGTCCATTACATTGATGACCTTATGCTGATTGGATCCAGTGAGCAAGAAGTAGCAAACACACCAGACTTATTGATGAGACATTTGCATACCAGAGGATGGGAAATAAATCTGACTAAAATTCAGGGAGCTTCTACCTCAGTAAAATTTCCAGGGGTCCAGTGGTGTGGGGCCTGTCAAGATATTTCTTCTAAGGTGAAGGATAAGTTGCTGCATTTGGCCCCTCCTACAACCAAGAAGGAGGCACAATGCCTAGTGGGCCTATTTGGATTTTGGAAGCAACATATTCCTCATTTGGTGTGTTGCTCTGGCCCACTTATCGAGTGACCTGAAAGGCTGCCAGTTTTGAGTGGGGTCCAGAACAGGAGAAGGCTCCGCAACAGGTCCAGGCTGCTCTGCCACTTGGGCCATATGGCCTAGCAGATCCAATGGAGCTTGAGGTGTCCGTGGCAGATAGGGATGCTGTCTGGAGCCTTTGGCAGGCTCCCATAGGTGAATCACAGCAGAGGCCTCTAGGATTTTGGAGCAAGGCTCTGCCATCTTCTGCAGATAACTACCCTCCTTTTGAGGGACAGCATACCAGGTACCTGTTACTGGGTTTTGGTGGAAACTGAACGTTTGACTATAGGTCATCAAGTCACCATGCAACCTGAACTGCCTATCATGAACTGGGTGCTTTCTGACCATCTAGCCATAAAATGGGTTGTGCACAGCAGCATTCTATCATCAAATGGAAGTGGTATATACGTGACTGGGCTCGAGTAGGTCCTGAAGGCACAAGTAAGTTACACGAGGAAGTGGCTCAAATGCCCATGGTCTCCAGTCCTGCCACCCTGCCTTCTCTCCCCTACCCTGCAATGATGGCCTCATGGGGAATCCCCTATGATCAGTTGACAGAGGAAGGAAAGACTAGGGCCTGGTTCACAGGTGGTGAAGCCCAATATGCAGGCACCACTCAAAAGTGAACCACTGCAGCACTACAGCCCTTTCTAGGACAAGGGAAATCTTCCCAGTGGGCGGAACTTCAAGCAGTGCACCTGGCTGTGCACTTTGGGTGGAAGGAGAAATGGCCAGATGTGCGATTCTATACTGATTCATGGGCTGCAGTCAATGGTTTGGCTGGATGGTCAGGGACTTGGAAGAAGCATGATTGGAAAATTGGCGACAAAGAAATTTGGGGAAAAGGTATATGGATGGACCTCTGTGAGTGGTCAAAAACCATGAAGACATTTGTATCCTATGTGAGCACTCACCAATGGGTGACCTCAGCAGAAGAGGACTTTAATAATCAAGTGGATAGGATGACCCATTCTGTGGACACCACTCAACCTCTTTTCCCAGCCACCCCTTTCATCACCCAATGGGCCCATGAACAAAGTGGTCATGGTGGCAGGCATGGGGGTTATGCATGGGCTCAGCAACGTGGTCTTCCACTCACCAAGGCTGACCTGACTACAGCCATTGCTGAGTGCCCAATTTGCCAGCAGCAGAGACCAACATTGAGCCCTCACTATGGCTCCATTCCTCGGGGTGATCAGCCAGCTACCCAATGGCAGGTTGATTATATTGGACCTCTTTCATCATGGAAAGGGCAGAGGTTTGCCCTCACTGGAAAAGACACTCCAGATATGGGTTTGCCTATCCTGCACACAATGCTCCTACCAAGACTACCATCCATCGATTCACGAAATGCCTTATCCACCGTCATGGTATTCCACACAGCATTGCCTCTGACCAAGACACTCATTTTGCAGGTAAAGAAGCGTGCCAGTGAGCTCGTGCTCATGGAATTCACTGGTCTTACTATGTTCTCAAACATCCTGAAGCAGCTGGATTGACAGAACAGTGGAATGGCCCTTTGAAGTCACAATTACAAATTGTGACTGCAAATACTTTGCAGAGCTGGGGCAAAGTTCTCTAGAAAGCTGTGTATGCTCTGAATCAGCAGCATCCAATATACGGTACTTTTTCTCTGATAGCCAGGATTTATGAGTCCAGGGATCAAGGAGTGGAAGTGGAAGTGTACCACTCATCAACACCACTAGTGATCCACTAGCAAAGTTTTTACTTCCTATTCCCTCAACATTATGTTCTGCTGGCCTAGAGGTCTTAGTTCCTGTGGAAGGAATGCTGTCACCAGGAGACACAACAACAATTCCATTAAACTGGAAATTAAGATTGCCACCTGGACACTTTGGGCTCCTCCTACCTTTAAATCAACAGGCTAAGAAGAGATTTACAGCGTTGGCTGGGGTGACTGACCTGGGCTATCAAGATGAAATCAGTCTACCACTCCACAACGGAGGTAAGGAAGCATATGCATAGAATACAGGAGATCCATTTGGGCATCTTTTAGTATTACCATGCCCTGTGATTAAGGTCAATGGGAAACTACAACAGCCCAATCCAGGCAGGACTGCAAATGGCCCAGACCCTTTAGGAATGAAGGTTTGGGTTACTCCACTAGCAAAAGCACCATGACCTGCTGAGGTGCTTGCTGAAGGCAGAGGGAATACACAATGGGTAGCAGAAGAAGGTGGTCATCAATACCAGCTGTGGCCACGTGACCAGCTGCAGAGAGACTGTAAGGGTCACGGGTATTTCCTCCTTCTTTTCCTAAAAATATGTTTGTGCATGTATATACTTGTGCTAAGGAAATATCTTATGTCAGTTTGTTTGTTTTTTTTTTTTTTTTGAGATGGAGTCTTGCTCTGTCACCAGGCTGGGGTGCAGTGGCGCAATCTCGGCTCACTGCAACCTCCGCCTCCTGGGTTCAAGTGATTCTTCCGCCTCAGACTCCCAAGTAGCTGGGACCACAGGCATGTGTCACCACGCCAGGCTAATTTTTTTTTTTTTTGTATTTTTAGTAGAGACGGGGTTTCACCATGTTGGCCAGAATGGTCTCGATCTCTTGACCTCGTGATCCACCCGCCTTGGCCTCCCAAAGTGCTGGGATTACAGGCGTGAGCCACCGCGCCTGGCCCAGGAAATATCTTGATTTCATTTCCTTTTGCTTTATCATGGGACACGGGACTTGTTAAGCTCACATCAGCATTAGGTATTGTTCACTTTATGTAATAGTATTTGTGTTGGGGACTGGTGCATTTCCCATTGTAGGAAGGATAGTTGTTTTATGTTAGGTGTAATTATGACATTATTATTGTCTTTATTTGAAGATTATGACGATCTCAGGAGATGTGTATAGGTTCAAGTTGACAAGGGGTAGACTTGCGATGGTTAATACTGAGTGTCAGCTTGACTGGATTGAAGGATACAAAGTATTGATCCTGGGTGTGTCTGTGAGGGTGTTGCCAAAGGAGACTAACACTTGAGTCAGTGGGCTGGAGAAGGCAGATTCATCTTTACTCTGGTGGGCACAATCTAATCAGCTGCCAGTGAATATAAAGAAGGCAAAAAATCATGAAAAAGAGAGATGGGCCTAACCTCTCAGCCTACATCTTTCTCCCATGCTGGATGCTTCCTGCCCTCCAACACTGGACTCCAAGTTCTTCAGTTTTGGGACTCAGACTGGCTCTCCTTGCTCCTCAGCTTGCAGATACCCTATTATGGGACCTTGTGATTATATAAGTTAATACTTAATAAGCTCCCCTTTATTTACGTATACATACATACACGCACGCGCGCGTGCACACGCGTATCCTGTTAGTTCTGTCCCTCTAGAGAACCCTTACTAATACAGCATATGTCCCTCATCCCTGACACATCTGCCTGCAGAGAAGCTCCTCCTCCAGTGGGGCTCTTGCCCCTCCTCCCACATGTTCCACCTTCCTCTCCAGCCCTGAGTTTCTTGCACAGCAGAGGCAGGTGTGTGGACACACACAGTCCCCGGGGCTCGCAGCCCAGCTCAGGCCTGCATGAGCTCTCAAAGATACCCACCTGGGAGGACAGTCCATTGGTGAGCCCATGGGCATTCCTTCTCACCACCGCTGATGGGGTCACCTCGTCATCTGTGGGTGATTTTGTCCGAGGGGGCACAATGCCAACTGCAGAAAGACAGAGTAGCCGGTGGGCCTCATGAAGCACAGGGGAGCAGGAAGCCAACTTCTCAGAGACAGGCTCAGCCCCATTCTCTACTGAGATTAAAAAGCCCAGTGTGTGGCACTGGGCTTTGGGTGTGAATGAGCACCCAGGGCTCCTCCCTGAGCAACCTTGCCTTACTTCTAGGGGAAGATGAGACAGAAAATACCTTTGTTGAGAGCTGCCTGCTTCTCTGCCTCTACCTCTTGCCTGGTGGGCACAAGGCTGATGTCTCTGGAGGTGTCCAGGGGTGATGTCTGGTGGGGGTCTTTCTTGCTTTGTTCATAGTTTGCCTTGGGCTGGGGAGAAAGGGTGAGAAGACAGTGATGTTAGTGTGGATGCCAGTGATATTTCTTTGTTTTGTAGTGGTTGAACTTGGCCCCCAGTGATGTTTCTTTGTTTTGTAGTAGTTGAAGCTCAAACCCTTGAAGATAAAGGGAACAAGGAAATGCCATGTGTGCCACCTGGGAGGCGGACAGGAATGCACTGGAGCCTCCCACCCATGTCCTTTAAGGCTGGCCAAGGATGGGCCATTTTGGGGAATGAGAGCTCATGGCCTCTAAGAGGCCCCCTAACCTGACCAGTTGTCTTGGCTGGCACTAAGAACTGCAGACTTGCTGTGAGCCAGAGTCAAGGAATGGCCGGTGGGGGGGTCTCTGAGGATCCTGTAGGGAATCCTACCAGAGACATAAGCAAACAGAACCAGGCGGGCCTTGGTGTCAGGATTCTAGGGAAATGAAAAGGGCACTTAGTGTGTGGGCTCACACAGTCGTGAGACTAGAAGAGACCTCAGCCATCATCTGAGCCACCTCCGCTTGTGGTACAGTTGAAGAATCTAAGCCTCAGTGAGGGGAATACGGAAAGAAGACCAGGCTAAAGTTCAGCAACTCCAGTTCTAGCCCAACTAGAGAGCAAAGGTCCCCTTTCTTCACCTGTCAAATACAGGTAACATTACCTGCTCTGCCAGTCTCACCAGGCGAACCCTCAAGGGTTATGCAAATTACACACAGCTACACCTAGATGAACACATGTGTTTTTCAATTTTAGGCGCAGGACTCTTTCTACTCACCACACAACCTCTTCCAAGCCTAACTGCATATCTCCTGGATCTTGGCTAGGGATGCAGGTGAGAGAGCAAGCCAGAGAAAGGGCCTGTATCCTTATACTCCAGGGACTCATGAAACCCAGCGAGGATACAATACAAGGTGGAGGCAGGGAGAGAGCATGGGCGGAGTGGGGCCTGAGATGGGCACAGGAAGGGATTGGAACGGCACTGGTAGGAGTGTCACTCAGTTTCCATTGGCTGGTCATGTTGGTAGGGAGTGGGGCATAATGGCTGTGCATGAGTCTGGGGGTGGGGCAGACAGTAACTCACGTCCCCATTACCTACAGAAAGCAAAAAGGCACAGAAAGATGGCGTGTGTCATGGTGTCAACTATCCTTTCTTATCCTAGAGTCCAGCTGTGCAGGGGCACTGTAGAAACCAAGCTTTGGGACTATTAATGGGGAAATGACTCCAGTGCCCTGCCTTGACCCCTCACCTGACCCTCTGCCCCTTGTCCCCTGCCCCACCCTCCAGGACCCAAGGGTGCTGGGTACCTGCCCCCTGGCCGTCTCGCCACTGCAATGCCAGGAAGGGGAGCTGGGGTAGGGCCAGAAGCGGCTCTCGCTAGGGAGTGGAGGGACGGCTGGAGGAGACTCCAGGGGGACGTAGGCTTTGGGGAGGGGAGGCCGAGGCGGGCCGGGTTCCTGAGGCAGACAGAAGCCAGAGCATTAGGAAGAACAAGAGCAGCCACTGTGAGAGCAGGAGAAAAGAGCGTTAGCAGGAGGCAGACAACAACATCGCTGGAGACCTGGGCAGGCCCCTGGGACAACTGCATTCCCACCCATGGCCTGCAGAGAGTGCCAGCTCCGGAGCTAACTCTCTGCCCAACCTTCAAGGCCCTCCTTGACCCAGCCCCTACCTGTCTACCACTTCCCACTGCTCCCCAGGTTTTCCCAAAGCTCTCTCATTGCCTCACCCCCATGCCAGGCAGCTCCTCTCCCACCCCTCTGCTTTTACCCGCTCTCCTGCCTAGAATGCCTTTCCCTTGTTCCTCTCCCTGTCTTGCTGCTCCACAGCCTGGTTTAGGCTCTATCTACCCTCTGCTGGAACATCAGAGCGTTTACAGTCCGAACCATTTGGCTCAATACTGAGACATACACCATCATGTTCCTACAAATCGGTCTTAGTCCATGGGATGCTGGGCTCCCTGAGTGAAGCCTTTGGGCACATGTGTGTATCTTTCTAAGACGGCCTCATGGCACCCCATGCCCAAAGTTGAGCCCCAGAAAACACTTGCTGATTGACTAGGAAACTGCTCCCCACACTGACCCTCAGCCCTCTCGCTATCCCGGCGTCATCCTGGATTTAAATTCCTATGAAATGCATGCTGTCTGCTATCCAACCTGGTGCCCAGGAACAGGCTTCGCTGAAAGGGAGCTAAAGATGACAGATGGAGATGAGAACAGGTGAAGGGGAAACCTGGAGGGAAGTTCACAAAACAGGGTGTGAGAATGACCTCCTTAGACAAAGAGCTCAAGCACTAGGGCTGGAGGCCTGTGGGGAAGAGATGGGCACAGAGGTTGTATAGTTTCAGACAAATGAGGGTCCAGTCCTCCCTCCCCCACCTACCTTCTACTCCGTTTCTCAGCTTACCTCGTTGGAACCAGGCTTGGTGGGGGACCCCTGAGAGCCCGACACCAGTGAAAAGGGGCTGAGGGGGCTGGTGAGGCTGGCGGAGCTGAGGGGGCTGGCCGGGCTGTTGGAGCTGTAGGTGGCTGAGGTGCCAAGTCCTCCTTGGGGGAAACAGAAGGGGAGAGGTGAGCAATGGAGGAGGGTGTGGCCTGGTGGGTAGATGGACACTGTGAGTGGAGGTAGCAGGGAGAGGCCAGACCCAGGGCGGACTTTATGTCTCAGGGCCACCTGGGCCTGCTGAAGGGACTCATTACAGGTTCTGGGGCCACAGGCTGGCTGCTGAGAGTTGTGCTGCGGGGAAGATGGTGGATGGAAATGACACTGTTGTCCCTGGGGTGTCAAGGAAGCCAGCCTGAGGTCCCAGGGCTCAAGGAAAACTCGAAGGTAGGGGTCACAGGTCACCAGTGCGTCCATGTGCTTGGGGGCTGGGGAGGCTCAGCTGCTTTTGACCTTTTTTGGAGAGGACTCTAGAGTATCAGGGTCAACAGTGTCTCTGAGTTGTCTACTTGGTCTATTCTGGGGTGGGGAGGAGGGAGTGAGAGAGCCCTACCTACCACCCTAGAACCCAGGGGAAGATTCTGGAGTCCCAAGAAGGCCCTGCCTGGCTCTGAACACAGTGTGAGCTGGCAGGTGTGGGATGGAGGCCAGAAATACTGGAGCACTCCTGGTGAGGCAAGCAGCCCAGGAGGCTGGTGCAGGAGGCACCCACCTCTGTGCTTGGCAGTGTCCGTGCCCCGGGAGGGGTTGTTCTTCCTCAGCCCCTCCATCACATCCTGGATCCTCCAGATCTCCTTTTGGATTTGCCGGTTCAGCACCTCATTCTGAAGCAGCCACTCAGACAGTCAAAGGGAATGGCCATGAGGAGTGTCCCGCCCTCTCCTTCCACCCATACCTCTCGGCGCGCACGCACACACACACACACACACACGCACACGCACACACACGCCCCTCCAGAAGTCATCTTTCTCATGGGCAGCCTCTGCTCTTCAGCCTCTAGGAGACTCACCCCAGAATTGACTGAGTCTCCGAACCAAGATTGAGGACCCACCCTTCTGAGTTCCCCCAGGGGGGACCAGGTGGTCTTAGAGTGAATGCCCATCTACGTTAACGCTTTATGGTATATCCTGTTTTTCATGGGATAAGAATTTCCATTTACTGCTTTTCTTCACATCCAAACAGCCCTTTTCTAACACCCACTCCCAGCGTATACCTAGAGTCATGAATTTAATTACACTTGACACTCTGAAAGGTAACAGCTCCCATTTATTTAGCATCCCTTAGCACCAGGCACTGTGCTAAGCGCTTTGCACATACAGCGCTAACTTATTTCGGCTGCTCGACTCTAGCAGGGAAGGGCAGCAGCTGTCCCCTCTTCAGAGATGAAGAGACTCACACCCAAGGCCATTTATTTAGTAAGCAGCATCACCGTCATCTAAATATGGGTCTATTTGGACTCAAAAGTTGGTGCTCTTGACCACAACCCTATCCCCTCTCCTAAAATGTCTGTGTTTCAAGCAAGGTTTGGCCACGGGACATGGTGGTATTTGGGCCCTCTGGACCAGGCGAGTCTTCACTTCACCCTACCTACCAGGTGCAAGGTAGGGGTGGTGAGTGGCATTACCATGAAGGAAACAGAAGAAAATGGGGGAAACCAGGGTGTTAACTACATCAGAAAGACAGGGCTTGCAACCTAGTTAGAAAAGAGGCAGGGCCTGGGTGAAAAAGAGACAGAGGAAAGAAAAGAATAAGAACTCCCCAAGATCATCAGGTCCATCCTCCTGCCTCTGGGAAGACGGTTTCTAAACCATCTCAGGAAGAAAAGCCTCTTTTCTGTCTAAAAATTCCTGAGCAGATTGCTCCTGCACCACCTACTCTTCTAATGCCTGAGTTATTTATATGACACGTCTGTTTTTAAATACTGCTGGGCATGGTGGCTCATGCCTGTAATCCCAGAACTTTGCGAGGCTAAGGGAGGAGGATCACTTGAACTCAGGAGTTTGAGACCAGCCCGGCCAACATAGAGAGACCCTGTCTCTATAAAAAATTTAAAAATTAGCAGGGCATGGTGGTTCAAGACTGTGGTCCCAGCTACTCAGGAGGCTGAGGTGGGAGGATCGCTTGAGCCCAGGGCACTCAAGGCTGCAGTGAGCTGTGATTGTGCCACTGTACTCCAACCTGGACGACAGAGCAAGACCCCATCCCAAGAGAAAAAAAAATCCTTTCAGTCATAAAACACCTTGTATCTAACTGAAGTCTCCCAAGCTTCACTTTAGCTCCTCCCTCATGAGATGAAACTAATGTCCCATTATCTTCAATCTGAAATGTAGAGTCTGTTATCTATAGCCTGAGCCTTTGCTTTTGTCTCGAGGCCGAATCCTCATCTTTAGTCACAACTCAACCCCCGCCGGCTCAGGGACCCTCCTTCACCTGGGTGTCCAAATTGAGCTGCTCCCAGAGGTCGTCGTGCAGAGCAGAGACCTCAGACTCCAGGTGCTCATACTCTACGGTGCTGTTCGTCAGGGCCTGCAGGGGAAGGGGTGTTCATCACCAAAGCATTCCTCCTTATCCCGCAACAGACTTCACTCCTCTGCTACCCTGGGGCCAGGATATCAGAGGTGTGAAAATCTGGGGAGAAGAGCATGGAGGGACAGAAGGAGAGGGGCGCCAGGCTGAGACGTTCTGATGACAGCCAAACACTAGCCTTACAAGAGATGTAACAGCCCATCCCACGACCAACTGAGATAAAGAGAAAATGAAAAGGGGATGATGTCACCTCCACACCCTCCTATTCTCCCCAGATTAGGGAATAAAAAGTGGAGGGCATAGCTGGGGGACACGACAAGACCCCATCTCTACAGATTACAAAAGTTATCTGGGCATGGTGGTACACCCCTATAAGTCCTAGCTACCTGGGGGCTGGGCAGGAGGATCACTTGAGCCCTGGAGGTTGAGATTGCAGTGAGCTGTGTTTGCGCCACTGCACTCCAGTGCGGGTAACAGAGTGAGACCCTGTCCTTAATAATAATAATAATAAGTATTATTATTATTATTTTAAAGTGGAGGGCAAAGAGAAAAGAGCCTGACGGAGGACATGTGTTCTCCGGAGGTTAGAGAGCCTCCTCCTTTCCGGGCCATGCTTTTATGGGGCTTTTGCTGCTGCTTCTTGGAGCCATTCTCAAGCAGTCTGTGCTGGAAGGTCTGCCCTTACCCACTGGGAGGTAGTGACCAGGGCAGCAGCCTTCTGGCCAGTGCTTTGCGTCTCCGAGGGAGAAGGCAGAAGTGGGCAGCAGAGGTGTCAGCGCAGCCAAGGAAATAAGTGCCTCACAACTTCACGCTGTCCCAAAGAAATCCCGGTACAGGCCCAGTTTGTGGGAAATAAGCTCATTTCCTCAGTGGAGCTTGGAATGAGCAGGCTGGCTGACGTGCTGTTTATTTGCAGGGCAGTGTTGAGGTTTTTGTTTATGCTCCTCTGCACGGGAGTACCCTGCTCTTGTCCTCTGAGGACAACTGGACAAGGACAGCACAAGCTGGGAGGTGGTGGCCCTCCTGTCTAGTGCCAGTCGGGGGATGTGTGCACAAACCCCGTGCCCCGGGTTACCGTGGTCGCCTGAGACAGCTCCACTCGGATGTTGATGAGCTGGTTCTGCAGCGACTCCTTTTTGTGCATCAGCTTCTCTGGGTAGGCCGGCTGGCTCCCAAACATCTCCAGCTCCTGGTGGGTCCCCATCAAGGCACTTTCCAGGCTCTCCTGAAGAAAGGCAAGGGAATGGCATGGGCGGCCCTGACAGTTCCTCTCTGGGATTGAATAGCAGAGGCCTGAGCCCTTAGAGGCTCACCAGGGAGCTGAGTGGAGGCTGTCCTTGCTTTGTCGGCTTAGTCAGGATAGAGACAGCAGCCCACAGCCTTCTCCAAGCCAGCCCCGCCCATGCACCCCAGCTTAAAGCCACCCCCAGCTTCTCACCTTCTCAGCTCGGAGCTGCTGCACCAGCCGGTCCTGCTCCCTCACCACCTTGTTCTGCTCACACAGTTTTCCCAGCAGCTTCTAGGGGCCCAGAGAGTGGGGAAGGAGAGGGAGAAAAAAGGGGATGAAGGACATAGTTTGATGGAAACCTGGGAGTTGCATTACAGGGCCTGGCCTCTGGATACCTGCTCCTTTCCCCTGCTGAGGAACCCTGGACCTTCACCTAGACCTTGGTGGCTCCTGAGAACAAGAAGACAGGCCTTCATCTTGGGAGGAAGCGAGTTGGGTTGAGAGGGCTGAGAGCCAAGTGTTAAACTCTGATACCCCTGTCCTTCCAAGGGTGGAAATTCACAAAGGACTGAGGAGATGATATGACCTCATCTCCTAGGCTGGGTGTCAGAACAAGCAGTCTTAGAAAAGCAGTGAGCAATAGAAACTGTCCCTCAGCCCCACAGAACCTTCTCCCTTCCCTCTGAAGCTCCTGTTCTTCCTCCTCCCTCCAAAGTCTCAGGATGGCTGAGCCTCCCTCTGAGGTCTAGTCTTGTCAGGAAGGAACTTCTCCCAGTCTTACTGGGCAGATCCACTACCCAAGTAGGGCTCGTGGTGATGGGGAGCAGACAGGTGAGGCCAGAAGGAGGGCTCATGCTTTCCTAGTCCACATCTTCATTTATGCCATTCCTCAAATACCTGCTTTGCTCCTTGCTACTGAGTCAGATTTTACCCTCTGGGCCTTTTAATTTTGAGGCCCAACTCAGTGCCACTTGTTTTGTCCCTCAACTTCAGCCCACATGGCCTTACTTCCCTGCCCCTGGCAGAACCTATTGGGGCTCCCCTTCACCAGGTGAACACCGTGTTACCACCTCCTGCTGCTACCTGGCGCCTCCCACTACTCTGAAGCTCCCTGAGGGCAGGCGCAGAGCTGTATTCTCCTTTCTAGTCACCTGCAGGGACTAGACGCCACGTTGGGCAGAGTGGACTGACTGATCTATCCCCCAACAAAGTCTGCATTCCCATTACAAGCAGATCCCACTGCTGTAGGCAAGAGGGCAGAGCACTCAGTGGAGAAACGGATACAGCCAGCATGGGAGGGAAGGGTGAGTAGGTGGTAGATCAGAAAAGAGGGGGATCAGGAGGAGGTAGGCAGAATCCTGTTGTGGTGAGAGAAGACATGAATCAAAGGTAGGAAGAGCCACCAGAAGGAGAGAGATGGATGGAGAGAGAGCCCCCGCAGAGGACAGCAGCAGGAGGCTGGAGGGGAGGGAGGGAGCAGGGAGCGCTGCTCTTACATCTGTGTCTTGCTCGTTTAACTTGTAGGTGTGGAGGCTGTCCCGGAACACTTCTGGATACGGAGGGACCTGCAGAAACATGAGGCCGGTTACTGCAGGAGGGGTAGGATAAGGGTACGCAGGGATAGGAAGCTGACATCACATTCCTGCTCTGCTCCTGCCAGAGACCGTGGTCCATCACCTCTGGTGGCTTCTGTTTCAGGGACCTCATTCTTCATCCCCTGGCTGGAAGCCTGGGATGGCCTGGCCTAACCCCATCCCAGTTGTCCTAGGCTGACTCTGGAGAGATCAGAACTCTGCTTGAGTCATGCTCTGTATTTCCTCTCCCCCAAGCACTAGGATCTGCTGTTAAGAGGGACTGCAGAGTGTGTCACTCCCAATGGCTTATTGGTAACCACCATGAGGACATCAGAGAATTCATGGCTGTCTGTGGGAATAGGAAATAGGAGAATGGTAGGAATGAGCATTGGGAACAGTTGAAGGCTATTGCTCTAGTAGACTTAATGCCAATCACAGGGCTTGTGTCTAAACAAAAATTGGCAAGAATTCAGAAGGGTCTCTGGGTCCAGCAAATGCTGCCTAGCCTTGACACCACATTTGATGACCACAGTACATTCTATACACCTTTAATATTAGATAATTCCATTACACCCGTCATGCTTTTAACCCCAGCGATGTCTGTCAAGATATTATAAATATGAAATCGAAATCAGAACACTAAGGAGCAGAGTTGCGATCCCCAGCATGGCATGAGATGTCGGTGCTGGCTATTTTGATGGTTTGGGAAATGGGCCTTGGGTTTACCCATGAAAGTGAAGAATGGAGGTGACATAGTGGAATTAAGGAAGGAAGACCAGGCCAAGCCTGTCTCCAGGCAGATGAGCAGGTTGGGTGGCGTGAGCCTCATCCTAGATGGGCGACTCGACCATGCACAAGCAGCTGAAATGGCATTGGCAGGGACCATGCTGCCAGGCAGAGGTCTTACTTGCATGAAGAGTTGGGACCTGGGGGAGGAGTTTTCCACCATGCGGTTCACCATACTGATGAGAGTCTCACTCTCACTCATCTGCAGCGGAGGAAGGAACGAACTATTCACACTCTGACCCACGTGTCAGTATCTCCCCTTCACCCACCTGTGCTTGTTTCCCAGGAAACAGGGGAGGGCAGCTGTCCCAGTACCCTGGGCTTGCCCTCACCCCTTGCTCACGCCTCGTGACCTCTGTTTCAGGACCAGCACTGAAGCGGTCCTTGCAGAAAGGCCATGGAAGGGTCTGGGAGGCCACTGGGCCCTTGCTGGAGGCACTGCAGAGGCCCTGCCTGGTGACCCTTCCCCAGGGTGCCTGGCTGTTGTGGGTCCTGTCCACATTGGCCACGGTTGTCATTTCCCTGCCCTGATCTCATTTCTCACACTACTTTGGACAAAGACCATAGAAGCAGTTGGAAGGCTGCTCTCCCCAAACTTGAACTAAGTGAAACAACCAAAAAAGAAAATCTAGGACCTGCTCTTTGGATGGGCCACCACAGATACAGAGGCCTGGCCCCTCTCCCTGCCCCTGCCCACCCTCGGCTCTAGTGCAGAAAGTGCTAAACACGGTTTCCAGAGCTGGGCTGGCAGCATCCATGATGATCTCAGATGATGCTAGGGAGCAAACAAGGAGGCCAAAACAAGCGAGCCACGTTAAAGGGACACCAGGCTCTCCAACACGTTCTTTTTTTTCAAGAATCCTTAGGAACATGGAAGTGGAAAGACTATTTGCCAATTAAAAAAAAGAGAAATGGAAAAAGGGAGTGGATGAGGAGGAAGAGGAAGAAAAAGGAGGGGTGGGAGAAAGGGCGAACCAACGAGATCAACCAGAAACGCCATCATTTCCCCCACTGGTTTCAATGGGAAAGGACCAAAAAGGGAAAATATCAGGGAATGTCCTTGGCTGTGTCCCTTTAACTCCATTGCTCTACAGGGGAAGGCAGCAGAAGACAGAGGGAGTTGTGCAGGGAAAGCTTTCTGGGAGAGAAAGTGAATGAGGACGGGAGGAATGAGCCACATTAGGGAAGATTATCTGGGGCTCCCATTCAGAGGGTCCCCTGTGTTTATTCCCTTATCTCCAATCTTAGTTGTCCCCACACTGTCCTTTCTTCCTCTTACCCCTTTTAGGCAACAGCCCGAATGCAGCCTTGCTTCTACATGTTGTAGGCAGGGCAAGGGCACCCACCACCCCTGTGTTTCCTTTCCCCCAAGCGCTAGGATCTGCTGCTAAGAGGGACTGCAGGGTGTGGAGTTCCCAATGGCTTGTTGGTAAAACTGTGAGAACATCAGTGAACCTGAATCTGCAGCATTTCAAAAGGCTTTCTGAGCAACTGATATTTCTACCTCTTTAGTCCTGGAATGAAAGGGCCTTAAGGGCCAGGAGCCATCCCTGCACAGTCAACTACAGATCTAGAGAAGTAGAGGAAGCAAGCAGGAGTGTTCTCATCCTGGCCTGCTCCCACCTGGGCTGCGGCTTTGGAGATCTTTCAGCCCGGGTGGGTTTTCCCACTAGGAGGATTCTTGTGTGCTACCTTCTTTCTCTCCAAAATGTTAGATTTTGTAAGAAAGCACCTAACCCACTGCCTCACACATAGTAAGTAGTGCTCATTGATATTTTTAAGTTTTGGAAAAACAAAATGATAACAGCAGCAAGTGGTGATTCCCACTTCTTGCCGATGGCTGACAAAGAGCTCTCATACCCACTCCCACTCGATTCTCCCAATAAATCTGTGAGGTTGAAAGGAAAGGGCAGGTTCTACAATGCCCATTTTATGATCGAGAAAACAAAGACCCAGAGAGACTGTGACATTTCCGAGATTTAAAAAAGAAATATCCTTGTAAATGGCAGAGCTAGAAGCGCAGCAGCAGTGTCTGACTCTGCCCTGGACTCTGCTCATCATACAAGACTGCCTTTTAAGAGTATTATCCTTGGCCAGGTACGGCGGCTCACGCATATAATCCTAGCACTTTGGGAGGCAGAGGCGAGAGGATCGCTTGAGGCTGGGAGTTTGAGACCGGCCTGGTCAACACAGTGGGACACCCATCTCTACAGAAAAAAATTTTTTAATTAGCCAGGTGTGGTGGTTGCACACCTGTCTGTAGTCCTAGCTGCTCATGAGGCTGAGGTGGGAGGATCGCTTGAGCCTGGGAGGTGGAAGTTGCAGTGAGCTGTTTGTGCCACTGTACTTCAGCCTGGGGAACAGAGTAAGATCCTGTCTCAAAAAAAAAAAAAAAAAAAACCACACAAAAAAGAATAATACCCTTTATCCCCAAGGGGGTCCTCTGGAAGGCTATTTCTGAAGCCCCCAGCCTAATGGCCCAGACCCTCTGTGAGGACAAAAGCTCCCAGGAAGGGACCCTGCTGTCTGCATTGAATGCTTGGACAGATGGGCTTTGTGGATGGAGTAGAAAGCCAATCACAAGGGTGACAGGGAGGACAGCTTGCCCAGGAACCTGGAGGCAGGCAGGCATTGAGCCTGCTCCTCAATCCTGCAAGGCACCTCGGATCTGGCTTCCCATCAGCAAAAGCCTAGGCCTCCCTGCCCTGCTCCGAGTTGGAATCCTGAGATCTATACTCACATGGCCCGGAATGCTCATGGTGTGGACAGAATGGGCTGCTCCCGGAGCCGGAATGCAATAGGAGCCATCCCTGCTTATTGAACTGTGGACACTGGTGCTTCCTGGTGCCTGAGGCATATTACAAAGGTCTGATGAGACAGGAGATGGGTCACATGGCTTGTGACTAGAAGAACCAACAGTTGCAGCTATAGCATCTGATTTTAAATGTATGTTTTTAGGCCGGGCGCGGTGGTTCACGCCTGTAATACCAGCACTTTGGGAGGCCGAGGCGGGTGGATTGCAAGGTCAAGAGATCGAGACCATCTGGTCAACATGGTGAAACCCCATCTCTACTAAAAATACGAAAATTAGCTGGGCATGGTGGCACATGCCTGTAGTCCCAGCTACTCGGGAGGCTAAGGCAGGAGAATTGCTTGAACCCAGGAGGTGGAGGTTGTGGTGAGCCGAGATCGCGCCATTGCACTCCAGCCTGGGTAACAAGAGCGAAACTCCGTCTCAAAAAAAAAAATTAAAAAAATAAATGTATGTTTTTTCCTGCAACTTTAAGAGCATGAACTCATCTTAATGAGGTCTGACACCGGCTTTGTCACACCTTAGATGTTTCCTCAGCTGTAAACTGGGTCAAAAGCTCAGAGTCACATTCCAAGTTCAGCTGTTCACTGGCTGTGTGATCTTGCCATGTTATTCAACCTCTCTGTGCTTTGGTTTCCTCAGCTATAAAATGGGGATAATGGCAGTACCCACCTTGCAGGGTTGTAATGAAGACTGAATGAGTTAGAGATCTGAAAAGCGCGTGCAATGGAACGGGGCGTGGAGGATGCATCCCATTATTGTAGCTGTTGTTATTTCCACCCTCCCAGGCTGCTTCCACAGGACAGTGTATATTTCTAGGCCACAGTTTGTAGCACAGATCTGAACTTAGGAGTATGTGCTTATACAAATGCCCAGCATAATGACCCCCTTGCCTGTCTAATCTCAGCCTCACAGCTTAAAAGACAAGAAAGGGTTAGAGCTCCACAGCAGAGATCAGGAGGCCAACTGCTTGCATCTCCTGGAACACTCATTGCCTCTTCAGCTTGCTCACCTGTAAAACTGGGTTGATAATACTCCCTCTGTCTGCACTGAATTCTCAGGATTGCATGAGCTGTGTATGCAAAGGGGATTTTGGAGGAACTTACAAATACACTGAGTGAATATTGCTTTTAAAATTATCCTAGAGAGGGTCTGTAGACCTCAGTTTACCAATTATGGAGTTTAGCAGCAACCTGTGAAATATGATCCGATGATGTCCCAGATTCAGGCTGAACTAAATCCCTAGCATTCTAGGCCCAGCCTAGAGCTCCCTCCTCCTCACCAGCAAAAATGCAAATTCCCACCTGCCCCCTGGGGGCAGTTCCATCTGAGCTGAGCACTGGAAAAATAAGAGGTGGCATTAATTATTCATGTGACTACTTATTATGCTTCTTTCCCCAGGAAACTCCCAGCTGTCCTAAAGGGCTTTGAAGAGAAGGGGTGTCGGGGGCAAACCAAAACATAAGCCACTTTGTTGTGTCCTGCTTGCACCAACAAAGGTTGTCAAATGGCTGGAAGAGGAGGAGGTGGGGAGGAGTGGAGGGTTCGGGAGGAAGGCAGTGGGATGGGAACGGGGGCACCAGCTCTGCCTACCTGCTGATCCAAATACTCTAGGTTTCTTTGCAACTGAAGATCTAAAAGTTCATCCTACCCGGAGCCCGAGGCCCAGAGGCCAAACAGCAACACAAACAAACAGGAACACACAAAAGAAAACAATAAAAAAGAAGCAAAGCAGTTAAGAGTTAGCGACCAGGACAAGGAGAGGCTTCTCCCTCTGCCCTTGAGGAGTTCTCAGGAAGGGAGGGGTTGAGGATGTGGGCAGGCAAAGTAGTTCTCTACCACCAGACACTCCAGGGAGAGGGGGGGCGTACGCAGACCCCAGTGCCATCTCTCCTAGGTCTGCCTAGGCCTCCCTGGGAGAGGTGAGTACCACCAGAGCAATTTAGGCAGCACTTGCTAACGGCTGTTTCCGAGTTTTCTGGAAAAATCAGTTGTTTCCAGATGTGTGTGCCTGCTGCGGGCAAGGCTTATCCGCTTTGGACACTGGCAGAGTGAGAATCAGACAGAGAGGGGAAGGAGCGGCCGCCCAGCCCCAGCCTGTCCAGCACTCCTCCACCCTGGCCTCCTGGTGCTGCTATGGAATCAGGTCAGCAACAGGCTTTCTGGACAAGGGTTCTGCCTGATGGTCCCAGTGGACCTCCCCAGTCCTCCCAGGTGAAGCATCTCATCTAGATCTCTAGGTGGTGGCAAAAGTTCTCAGGAGAACAAATTCCAGGGAGAGACACGAGTAGAAAGAGGCAGAGAAAAAGGAGGAGATGCAATTCGGAAATTTTTTTCTTCCTCAGTCATATCTCTTGTATCTCTCCCAAAAAGTGGCATTCCAGGCAGAGGTCAAATGCGAATTAACTATGTTTCAGGGGAAAGAAGTTTAGGAGATCTTGCTTCTTGTTAGGAGCTCTGGCCTGACTCTTCCTGCCCAGGCCCCTTCTCCTGCATGCTGGAGAGGAGAGGGACCAGGATATTACATGCTCCCAGATCTCATCCCTCCTCCACGGCCTGTGTCACAGAAGAGAAGGGGTTACTGGCACCAAACTTGATGCTGGGGCTAGAGTCCTGGCTGGGAGGAAGGAGGTATCCAGAGGCTGCTAAAAACCAGCCAGGCCAGGCACTGGGCACAGAGAGTCCCTGGAGTCTGCCCCAGTTTAGCTCCACCCTCGGTGGAGCGTGGTGTGGGGACAGTGCAGGGGAGAGAGGACGTACCATCTTATCGTGGACCGTGGGGGATGGTGGGTAGTTGTAGGGGAACAGTCCTGCAGGGACTGGCCTCCTGTCTCCCAGGTAATCATACTGGAAGAGAAAGGGATCGCAGAGGTAAGGGGTCTGGCTGGGACACGGAGTTCCCCACCAGCTGAAGCTCGAGGTTAGGGGTGTTTGCGTTCAGTCCCAGAGCAGATCCCAAACCGAAATAGACAGCAGCCCCCCTTGCAAGGATCTGTCCAGGTCCTCAAGATTTGAAAAGACAGAGCCCTTTCTGCCCTCTTATATGACAGCACAGTTTCTGGCACAACCTGGGGGCATGTACAGAAAGCAATGTTCCCACTCAAGAGGCAAGGCCATCCCCAAGGCAGCTCTCCTACAGACAGAACCGCAGGCCAGGGGCTCCCCTGGGCAGCACTGCTGGTCCTGCGGACACACAGCCCAGTGGCCCTGTGGCCCAGATGCTCCCACATCTCTGCCTCTTCTCAGTAGACGGTCTTAGGCTTCTGGGGAATCTCAGGGGATGAGGAAGGAAGGTCAGGCTGGTGGCTTACCTTGGGGGAGCTGATGGATCGCCTCATCACATAGGCAGCAGGGTCAGCATAGATGTCCTCGCTGCGAGGTGGCAGCCGCTCAAAGCGGGCACTGGGTGAGCGGACAGGGGAGTAAATGCGGGCACGGCTGTAGGAGCCCTGGCTGGGTGAGCGGGGCACAGAGTGGGAGCGGGGCTGCAGGGACAGGCGTCGCAGGGAGCTAGAGGCAGCATCCAGCTCATCATAATAGACTGGCTGCCGGGAGGGGCTGGGGATCCAGACAGTGCCATCCTGCCGCCCGTAGCCAGCGGGCTCCTTCCACTCGCGCAGCTGGTAGGCAGGGCCGCCCCCATTGCGGAAGGCGTGGCGCTTGTCCTCCATGGCCCAGGGTGGGCTGATCCGATCGTAGGCCGGCATAGAGCAGATGCTGTCTGGCCGCACCCCTGGAGGGTAGTACTGGTAATCATCGGGGTATTGGGAGGCGTAGGGGCCATAGTACTCAGGGACCCTGCGGGACACAGGGTAGAACCTAGAGGGACTGAGAGAGAGTAGACATTGTAAAAAAGGCAGACAACACAGGTACCCCCCACCCACCACAGCCCCATTTCCAGGTCCCCCAGCCCAGTGCTCGAATAGGTACACAGGGGCTGAGGTTTATTCCAGAGGTGAGGGAAAGACTCCTGTCCTGAAAGTCCCCGTCCTCAACCAGCTCCGCAAGGCTGGACATTGCTATTCAGAGCTTCAATCTTTCTCTTTAAAATGACATATCCCTAGGGAGAAACGGGAAGCCTTGGCAGCCATCTCCATCTCACATGAACCGCTTTATCAGATCTTTTCCGAGAGGCAAATGGAAGAAAGACTACCAGGTACTTGAAGGAGGGAAATGTAGGAGGGGCCAAAGGGTGGCATCCTGATTTATTTTATTTTAGAGATGAGGCCCGTTCTGTCGCCAGGATGGACTGCAGTGGGGCCATCACGGCTCACTGCAGCCTTGAACTCCTGGGCTCCAGCGATCCTCCCACATCCACCTATATAGTAGTAGCTGGGACCACAGGTGTGAGCCACCATGCCCGGCTTCCTGACTGTATGATCTTGTCAGGAGCAGAACCAGTGTTGGGACTCATCCCAAGTGATCCTCTCCAGAGCAGGTCTGATATTCCCAGGCACCAGACCCCCAGCGATGTGTGGCCACTCAGGCCACTAGAGGGCAGGTTCCTCCCAGGCCCCACGGCCTTCCTGAAGCTGTGGCTTGTAGTCCCTGGAGCTGCCCAAATCCCCAGGGAAGGAGCCTGCAGCCCCCATTTGCCCTGATGGACACCACTGGGCCCAATAAATGTCCCCAAATATTTCAAAGCCAGTCATTGGATAAAGGAGTAAATGGTCATAGAGTGCCGTGTTGGGACTAATGAGTTACTTTCTTTCTCTCTCTTTCTTTTCTTTTCTTTCTTTCAACTTCAGATAAATCATGGCTTTAAAACAATTAGAGCTGTTCAGAAATGAGGCCGGGAGTGGTGGCTTACACCTATAATCACAGCACTTTGGGAGGCCAAGGTGGGTGGATCACTTGAGGTCAGGAGTTCGAGACCAGCCTGGCCAACACGGTGGAAACCCCATCGCTACAAAAAATACAAAAATTAGCCAGGTGTGGTGGCTCGCGCCTGTAATCCCAGCTACTCAGGAGGCTGAGGCAGGAGAATCGCTTGAGCCCAGGAGGTGGAGGTTGCAGTGAGCCAAGATTGTGCCACTGCACTCCAGCCTGGGCAATACAGCAAGACTCCATCTCAAAACAAAACAAAAAACACAAAAATGGAGTGGGTTGGTCTGACAGTGAGTGAGTCTCAAGTGGGTGGAACCCTGGAGGAGAGGATGCTGGAGGGGGGCCCGTAGCTTGGATGGATGTCTGACTGTAACAACTTCAGGCCCCCTCCCGGAGCCTGCTGTGTTCTGGGCTCCCCAGCACGCCATGGAGAGGTGTTGGGGCACTCTGTCTTTTCTTCTGAAGGAAGTAGATGGAGAAACCAAGAATCAGGGACAGCAGCCAGACTCTAATGGTAGAGCCACAGGGCAGGAAGGATTCGGGCAAGCTGGGAAGCATGGGATTTGCTCCCATCTCAGCCTGGCTTCCGGCAGGTTTTCAACAGGGGAGGCCCCGTGGGCTATGACCCCACCCCCACGCTCTAGCCATAACACCATATCAGCCCCATCCTGGGCCCCGCCAGGCCTCACCTCCGAAGGTCTTCGGGAGGGGGTACCCCCCGGCGCAGGTTCACCCACTGCTGAAGCTGATTCATGGAGCTCTTGCGCTGGGCAATTTTGTCAGGGTTGGTGCGTGGCGGGAAGCTCCGCCGATGTCCCCCAGTCTCTCCGTCCTGAGGCGGGAAAGCTGTGCTCCCTGGCCGGCTCGGGGAGTGGTACTGCCAGCCATTGGGCTGGGCAGGCTGTTCCCCACCCCCTGGTACCCTTGGGCCCTCGGGGTAAGGGCTGCCCGGCTCTGAGGCTGGCTCCGGTCCAGCTGGGAGGCCATTGGCTTTCACCAGAGGCTCTTTCTTGACTTCAGGCCTCTCAGGCCTTCTCTCTGCCTTCTCACAGCCTCGGCCATCACCCTCCCCTCGAGTCTTGGCCTCTGGCTCAGGCTTGGGGAGGCTGTTGTGGGGTGGCTGGTGGTGCTTGCTGGGCGGGATGTTCTCCGAGTCTGGCTTCTCATGGCTGCAGGATGTTAAGGGAGATGCTGTCAGTGACTCCAGCCCAGCATGGCACGGGCAGGGGGTGCCAGACTGGGAAGGAGAAAGGCGTGGGAGGGATGGGCGGGGAGGTGGCCATGGAACCAGGATTCTATCAATTCCAGTTCTGCTTCCGAAGTCCCACTGCTTCATCTTCTCGCTCCAGCCTGGGCAATTATTATACAACCCAACCCGCCTCTGCCCACACCTGCTGTGTTAACTCTGCTCCCCAGGTCATCTCTGCAGGTCGTTCTCCACCACCCTCTGTCAGCCTGCTTTAGCCCAGCCTTCAAGCTACGGCCACGATTCATCTCACCCAGCCTTGGTCTTCTCTTTAGTCTGTCCCTGACCCAGCTCCCCAAATTGGGTTTGCACTCCCGTTAGTAACTGTCCTTGATACCCCAGTGACAAAGGCTTGTTATGGGGCAGCTCTCTTACCTACAGAAAGTTATTTAACTGCCATGAGTCTTGGCCTTCTCATCAGCAGAATGGGCATAATAACATCTCCCCTCCTCGAACTTCTGTGAGATATTTACGGCAGGCGCCAGGGGCAGAAGTTGCTGCTTTCAAACTCACATGCCCATAAACACGCTAGTTCCCTTCTCCAAAACACGTTTCTTCCAGGACTGACTTTCCGTGAGAATACAGGCCCCACAAGGGTAGGAATGTGGCAGACTTTCTTCCCTTGTGTTCCTAGCACCCTCTACAGTACCTTACACATTCATATTTACAGTAAGTATTTGTGAAACGAATGAATGAACCCTTGGAAATATGCCCCTTGGTTGAAGCGAAGATGGAAACTTGTGACAGTTTTCCCCCTTCAGATTCCCAAGCTCCACACATTCAAGCATCCTTGTTGAAACATTGCCTGGTAAACATTTCTAAGCTATGTGAATGGACCTGGAGTCTACACTGGGAAACCCCCTTCTCCTGGATCCCCGTTAGCACCTAACTCAAGACTCCCCAGCTAAGGGAGAGACAGACGCTGAGACCGTGGGTGATGGTAGGTGATGGGAGCAGCCATATGCTAAGAGTTTATTGCATGTCAAGTGTTTTACACGCACTCTGTGTAGGCCTCATGACAACTCTATGATGTAGAGTTGTATTTGCTGGGTTTTGAGCAGAGGAACCTTGGGTTCAGAGAGGGTAAGTCCCTTAGACTGAGGTCACACTGCAGCCAAGCGGACAAGGTGTGATTCAAACCTGAGTTTATTTTCCTCCAAAGATGGTGTGCTTAACACACACAGCCGAGAAAAACATGCAAATGTCCCTGACCTCTGGCTCCTGGCCAGGCCCCAATGGAACCTGGCTTCCCTCTTGGCGTCCTCCAGCTCAGACAGAAGAGGAGGAGCTGGCTAGGGGAAGAGAGACTTCAGGCTCTGAAATCACTCAGCCAGGCCTCCCGCCTGGATGCAAGGCGGCGGCTCACACTCTCTCCAGGGCTTTAAGCAGGCATAGTGAGATTAGCAATGGCCCAGAGGTGGGAGTGTCTTCCACTCTCCTCTTTATTCTTTCTGCACCCACACTCAGTTCCCTGGCACTCACCTGTGCCGCACAGCTTGGGGCACAGACTTCTGGGCTGGAGGGATCTGTACTCGAGCGGCCTCCCCCATGGCCTGGATCCAGGCCTCTTGCTCCTCAGGGCTCTCGGCACTGAAGAAGTAGGTGCGGACGCCAGCATGCTCCGCCTGTGGGGAGAGGCAGCGCGTGGAGCTGGCCTCGGCCTCATCCACCCAGCACACAGTCACCTGTCGGGAGAAGACACAGACGCCCACCGAGGGGCAGTCAGTTGGGCCATTCCCTGCACCTGGGCTCTTCCCCATGCGGAACTCAGGAGCAAGGTGAGAAGGGCAGCTTGCAGCCTCCCCGCGGGCTCCAGCTGGTACCCAGGTATCCACCTTGGCTGGCTCTCTGGGCACCATTAGGCAGCCCATTAACCAGGTCAGCCTACTTGCCCCACCTGGGGTGATTAAAGCAGGAGGGACAATGATCACACCCACTTTCCCGGCAAATACCATGTTTGATTTCAAAGGCAATGACCCCATGTCTGGGACAGAGGACCCCCTGAGCACACGCCAATCTTAGCCCCTTCACTGCTGAGAAGCTAGTCTCTTCCACGTGGAGAGACAGCAGAGCCACTCTCCGCAGGCATGCAAAGGCAGGCACTGGCATACAGACAGAGCACACTACCTAGTTGGCGGCCGTGAGCAGGCACTGCGGGCGGGAACCCAGAAGAGAGCTCCTGTCCAGAGGAGGGGTCCTCACGCGGTCAGAAGGAGGAGAAGCAGAGAACAGGTCAACCAAACACCAGAGGGAGAGACAGAAGACGACGCGGCAGGAATCGGTGAGGAGCACAGGGAAGGGGGGATTTTCAGATTGTCCCCTTCTACTGAGCATCCCCACCAGGAACAGCAGCACCCAGCAATGCCCAGTTCCGCCTACCAAGGGGTGGGGAGTTGGAGAGCTTGTACCAGGGTAATTTGGGCTGGTGGTGGAGAGTGAGTCAGGGAATCGCAGTGCTAGCCTGGCTCTGCTCCCAACCAGCTCTGTAACAGCAGACCAGTTGTGGTTTTGCTCTGGCCTTCACTGATGCATCTATTTCATGGGAACAGGGTCAGCCTGGTGAAACTCGAAGTTTTTAGGCTACAAGGAAAAGAGGCCACAGGGCTAAATTCTTTCTGGGATCTCAGCATACTCCCCAGTGAGATCCTCGGTAGCCTGGATTAGCCCACTCGACAGGGGACATTTAGCAGTGACTCAGAGTCTCAGGTGTGAGCCTCACTCTAGCCTCTGACCCCTTGAGCCCTAAATCCTGGGTCTCTAGGGGTTGAGATAGCCTAGGGCTCTCCTGAGCAGCCACATCAAACCCACACCCTCCGAATGCTCACAAGGTTCCTCAGCAGCTGATCCCACCTCACCTCAACCCGTCCCAAGCCCTCAATTTCTTTCTGACAGGAGCCAGGATGGGCCTCCTTCCTCTGGTCCCCACCCTCCAGCAGAGGGCTTAGCTTGTGGGTGGAGCTCAGGGCAGGTGTGGGAGAGGGCAGGGGAGGTGGTGTCAAAAGGCCAGTGAGGCCCTAAGAAGGCAGCTGGGACTTGCAACTGATGGGGGTAGAGAGACCAGGGGCCCAGGCAAATCCTCTGGGTGGAGAACACAGAGTTATTGTAGTGAGGAGACATACAGGCAGGGCTTGTGGGTGTGTCTCGGGCGGGTAGGAGCGGGCAGTAAATGAATTCATCGATTCAGTGAGCATCCAGGGAGAGGCCTATGTGCGCGGAACTCACTGGGGGCACCAGTCACAAGGAAGGCAAAGACAAGTTCTTGCACTTGAAGAGCTGACAGTCACACTGGGGACAAAACATGCCACGGGAAACAAGGAGAGAGCAGAGGCACAGGGACAAGTGCTGTGACAGGGGAAGGCAGGGGGCCTGGGAAAAGACAGGGCCATTGATGGGGAGTGGGCAGGGGTGCTGGCCTGGAACTATGAAAGGGAGCCAGGGAATTGAGGGCGCTGTCCCGGAGGGGCAAAGCCCCCGGAGCCTCTGTGGGTCCGAGTTAGAAAGAGGTTAAGGCATTCAGCAGTAGCCTGGGCAGGAACAGTTCCTGGCTCATTCTTGGCCATCCAAGAGTTTCACTCAGTGGCCACAGCAGGACAAGCCTCCCATCTGTCTCAGCTCCCCTCCCTTCCCTGGAGACGGCCACTGAATAGCCACAATCAGAACCCTCTGTGGGCCACTGAGCACAGCCCTCGGAGTCAGTTTTTAAAGAGGCAGCTCAGTGAAGGGGAAGGAGGTGAGGAGCTGGTGGACAGAGAGGTGATATCTGGGGCCTGTGATGGAGGAGTGTGTCAGTCACTCGGGGAGGTTTATCTCACGCCTGCTGCTGGCAGAGATCCAAGCTGGAGCATGTCTGTGTCTCTGCACAGGTCTGGTGGGGAGGGTGAGACAGGCTGTTTGATTGTGTGTGTGGGTGGTGTGTATGTGTGTCTGTGTATAACAGGACTACTTGTTGTTGGTTAAACAGCCTGTTCCTATTTCCCCAGCTAGAACTGGCTCCCTGGAGTCAGAGTTTTATTAATTGTTCATTCTCTTCACACCTCTGGCATACAAGACCCCGGGAGGCTGGAAACTAATTATGTGCCAAGTAAGTCCTTCCTTGCTCCCCATAGCGGCCCCTGTGCCTGCTGCCCAGCTCTTTTCTGTGGCCAGGTGACTGGAGCCTGAAGAACAGGAAGGGACAGAGTCTCTAAGGCTCTAGAAGCTCAAGCAGTGACCTGCACGTCCTGTCGTCTAACATCATAGCTTTGAAGGGTCTTGGACAGCAATTCTCAACTGGGGGAGAGAGGGCTTTGTACCAAGAAAATGTGTCGTTGATATTATAATGTTATATTTGGAAAATGAAAAGGAACCTCTGATTTTTGCATCATAAAATACAAAAGGGCATGAGATTTTTATGGGTTTTGATGGGTCATGAATTTTTAAATGTGGAAAAACACTGGCCTAGGATGAGCCAGCTGCAGGCACATCTTTACCGGGTGGCTCCCCAGGGGCTCCAGGCAGCGATATGGAGCGGGCAGGAAAGGCCCATTTTCCTGTGCACTTGTTCTCTTAAATGGTTTCTTCATAAGGTTTACAGCTCTTGAGTGGAATAAAACTCAACTGCTAATATTCTCTGAAGATTGAAATTTGAGTATGTTTGACTTGGGGGTAGGTCCAGTTCCCTGAAGCCACGGTGGGGAGGAAGCCTTTCCAGGAAAGATCTCAGAACCCCATCAGCCCCAGCTCCTGCCTCTGCCCAGAGGAAGTTCCCAGGGGCAGGCACTGGGCAAAAGGTCCAAGGACTCAGGACATAACTATTCCTGCCCCAGTGACAGTTGTGGTGCTGCTGAAACACATCTCTACTGGCCCACTCTGGGGAGAATTGCCCACCAGGCCCCCAAGAGAGGGGGAAGGTCCCGGTATAGCCTCATCTTCGACTTACAAGAGACTGCGCTGAGTCTAGGGGCCATTGCTACTCCCCCATCCCCCCACCACAACCGCTATCACCACCAACACCTGGGATTCCTTAGGGCAATGGCTCTTGACCCTTCTCCACTCCCATAGGCTCTAGAAGAGCAGGCCTCCCTCCCTCACCTGCCCTGGGAGGGGAAGGCCAACTGACCTTAAACGTGTGTTTCCGGCTGATGTTGTCGGAGGGCTGCACCGCGGCTACCCGGAAGCTCAGGAGGGGGATGCTGCCCAGGATGCTCTCTTCCTTCTCATCTGTCAGGGAGGGAGGCACAAGAAAGGTGTGTGTGTTGGCGGGGGGAGTTGTTGCCCCTTCCTGACCAATATCAATACATATTTGTTGTTCGCCTCCTATTTGTCAGGCACACAGGGCCACCACACGTGCTCTGAGAGGACACTCCCGGGACTTAGGGAGCATGGTGGCCTTGTAGATGCTTTTCCAGACACTGGGACTACAGAGGTGAATACGAGAGAGGGAGTGCCTACCCTAAGGGAATTCACATTCTAGTGCCCAAATAAACACGTAAATAACAGCAGAGATTTCGGAGCTGTTCAGGCATTGTTCTGAGTGAAATGCCGTCATGGATTTAATCCTCCCAACAAACCCATGAAGAGGTACTATCAGTACCTTCATTTTATAGGTAAGGAAGGAGACACAAAGAGGTTAGAGGATCTATCCAAGGTTACTCATGCAACAAGTGGTAAAACTGGTCTTCGAACTCAAAAAGTCAACTCCGAAGCTAACATTGTTGACCACTAACCTATCTATCCTGCCTCACTAAACAAGACCATCCCCGTGACATATGTAATAAGGTGGTGTGACAGCATGGTAGAGGGACTGTCCCACCTTCCGCTCTCTGGCGCCTCTGGGAAACTCTTTCTAAGGTTCTCCCTGGCACGCAGAGCCTGCTCTGCCCTTTCCTGCTGCAGATCCCTGCTGAGGTTCTATGTCTCCACAGGAAAAGGCACCCCTGCATGGAGTGCTCTGGCCCTCTTCTCCCTGGGATCTGGCTAACAGTCCAGCTATTACATAATTCATCCCGAATCTCCAAAGGAGCCTGATGGATTGGCCAATTGGGCCCCCAGCTGTCAGCAGGAGGCAAGAAAGGGCGGGAGTGCTGTGTGGGACAGTAGTGGGGACAAGTATGAGACCATGGCAAGACTCTCCCCACCTCCCTGGGATCACATTTGCTCCCCAGGCTGGGGACTCTGAAAGGCCTTCAGCTAGGGTTCAGAAGAAATCTCTGCAGGGCTATAAGCTCCTCAAGCCCTGCTTCTCCTCTTCCTCATCACGTCTACATGATACTTGGCCCACAGTTCAGTTTCTCTGTCCGGACCCCAGCATGGTACCTGGAGGAGGGGATAAACCAGAGTAGGAGGAGGCACTTGGGGGGAACCCCAGGGCTGCCTTCAGGAGAGCTGAGGCTGTCATCCTCCAGAGACGGAGCCCCTGCCTGGCGGAGTCCAGGCCAGCATTTAGGGGAGTCCTGAGTCCATCTCTTGGTGAACAGTGACCCCCATTTTGGTAAAGACTCAGACCAAACACCTCCTGAGCCTTTGGGTTCTCAGCCCTTGGAGGTTCTACCCCTACTGCTTCCTAAACACTCTCCTCTGCAGAGACCCCCGCTTTCCTCCCAGTTTCCTTCCCACTCTGGCTCCAGTGTAGCCCCATATCCTGGAGGCTCACCACCCGGGTCCTGGGCCTAGGCAGAGTCCCCTCCCCCAGTCTTGGGCTTTTCTCTGGGTCTGCACTGTGTATGCTCAACCCCTTCCTGATTTCCCTCCTTGGGGTTCAGGTGGCTGCAGTACAGCAAGCAGAGATAGCAGTGCTCTGTAGGGTCACTGGGTGCAACCTCTGTTTGCTGAAGCTAATGATTCACTGAATTGCTCTCAGGAGGCCTGGAAATCAGGGCTGTGCCCTCCTGGGTCAAGGAAGTGAAGGAAACAGCCTCTCCCGCTTCGTAACAATTGTGCCCTCTCTCCTCTCATCCCTCACACCTGTTTCCTTCCCTGCATCTGCATGGTGCCACCATCACTGACATCAGCGCTTGCTGGCACCCTCAGCCTGCCTTGGCACAACTTTTAAAAATAGAGAGTAGGGAGAGGGAGAGGGTGTTGGGGTGGGCAGAGAAGGTGAAAAGGGGAAGATATTATATTCACTCAGTCAGTGTTGACTGCGCACTGACTAAATGCCACACAGTGGCTTAGGTGCTGTGGATACAGCAGCGGTGAACACTGACAAAGGTTCCTGCCTTCACAGATGGGACTGTGCATTCCAGAGGGACAGGAGGAAGAGCCACATACAAGCTCCAATTAATAGGTGGCCTACTAGTCGTGACTAGTGACCTCCTCCTCTTTGTCCTTGTCCTCTCACCCCACTCCTCCAGGACTTCGCCGCCCATACGACCACCTTGTTCACCCAGTGTACCGCCAGCACTCTGCCTGAAACCTAGCAAGCATTGTTGAATGTGAACTGAATGAGTGAGAGTGTGTGAGCGACCAAGTGAGCTTTGTTTTTATCCTGCTGCCACTGGTGCCGGGACCACAGTGGGGAGATCTGCCCTGCTGGTGCCCATCCAAAGCTGAGCTCGGGGGTATGGCAGAATGAGAAAGAGTAGTGGGTCCTGGCTTCCTGCCGGTCCGAGGGCCAAGCTCACCTTTATAGTAGAAGAGGCAGCGATCCACCAGGACGAACCAGCGCTTGTTCCACTGCTTAACCCCGGAGCTGGCCTGCAGGACATGGGAGAGGCAGATGTGAGGGCTGCAAGCTGGACGGGGAAGAGGAGGTGGGGTGCAGGGAAAAGGGCACCGCGTCAATTATAAGGACATCCTGGCCCTAGCTGCGGCTCTGCTGTTAATGCACGGCAGCAACCACCAGAGACCTCAGATGCAGGGACTGACATTCGATTATTGCCTGTGACCTTCCAGTTCTGTCATTCAGTGCCCCCCCTGGGGAGGATAAAAGAGGCAAGAGACAGGCAGAGTGAGTGAGCCGAAGGGCAGGCAGGGATAGCGGCAAGGCCAATCTGGTGCCAATCAGTGGACCCCAGATTTGCAGGAGGCACGCCTATCCCCCCGTAATAAGCGGGACCTGCTGGGGAGCTAGTGGGTTGCTCCCAGGAGGCTGGGGACCCAGCATGTTTCAAGGTCATTGCATCTACCCATTAAGCAAACAGGCACAAATTTTTCTGTGTGACTTTGGGAGAATACTTGGTTTCTCTGAGCCCTTTATAATATTAGGAGACTGGGTCACAGAGACAGCAGGACTACATACCAAAAAAACACATAGACTGTCATAAGCACAGAGGAATCCTCATTCTAGGAGAAGACGGAGGCGACGGTGGCCAGAACAGCAGGGTGGCCTCACCTGTTTGAAGAGCCAGCCCGCCTTGGTGACGGCTGCGTTGGGGTTCCGCTTCATGGAGTGTGAGCGCTTGCCAAAGGCGACAGCTTTGCGGGTTGTGCGAGTTGCCTGGGGGCAGAGACAGAAGCTGGCCTAGCTCCCTGTCTCCTCCTTCCTGCTGTGTCTGCAAGGGAGCCACCCCTGCTAGAGCTGCTATCCCTATAGGGTTAACCCTGGGGTGCCCTCACGCCAAGGAGCCCGGGTATAAATCTCAGATCTATTACTAACTCAAAGGCAGGGACTTTCGGTTCTTTGGCAATTTTTTCTCATTTCTAAATTAGGGCTCAAAATAATAGTTCCAAAAAAAAAAACAAAATAATAGTCTAACCTGTCTCACAGCTTGTTTTTGGCGGGGGAGGTGAAAATAATAAGATTTCTAACTTCGCTCTGGCCTATCCTACTCCCAGCCGCCTTGCTCCTCCCCATTCTGGAAGTTAACGCCCTGCACCCTCCTCCTCCGAGAGGCCCATGCGTCATCTCATGCCCAACGTAACACGGAGCTGGGAAGAGAGACAGGTGTTCTCCTAGCTCTGTGTGGCCACATGGCCACTGTCATCCTTCCACACTCTGGCAACAGTCCACCTTTCTAGAAGCATCACTTCCTGATGTCCCACTGTTTAATCCTTCTCATCACTGTCCACTTCTCGATCGTTCTTTCAGGGTCTAAGGGTTTTGATGTCAATCCTCTTCATTCTGCCTTGCATCACTGTGGAAAATCTCCTTGCTCGGGAGCAGGACCTATCAATGCCCTAACTTCATCCAGCCTTGATGTCCTCGCCTCCAGCACTCTCCACCTGCACTCCAGCCACGCGCTCCCAGGGTCTCCACCTGCACTCCAGCCACGCGCTCCCAGGGTCTCCACCTGCACTCCAGCCATGCGCTCCCAGGGTTACAGTTTTAATCTTCCCAGCACCCCAAACCCCTCTGCTGCTATCTTCACTTCCAGGATTCCTGCTTTCTGACCCCAACATTCCACCCTTTGGGCTTTCTCACTCCATTAACTCAACACCAGCTTTCCTACTTCACTGAGGTCCCCAGCTCCTCAATTCTTCTCTTTTTTTCTGGATCCATCAGCTCCTCCCAGCTTTAGTTATTTCCCCACAAAGCCCAGGCCCCATGGTGGAGTCTATCAGCTGGACTCTCACGAACCCAATCTATTGTCTTCCTACCTCATTTTCTCTAAAACTCAATACAGCACTCCAAATTCATCAAATGATCTACTCTCCCTGCACTCAGAGCCAGATTACGGTGCTGTTGGAGAAAAAAACAAAAATCACACTGCCATATAGATGAGGTTGCCACAGAGCTGCCGCCCCATTCCCAGGGGGCTCAGCCCCAGACGGCAGCTCCACTCCACACCCTCACCATCCTCCCCGCCCCGCAACCTCCCCTGCCTCTGCCCTCCCCATAGTGGACCTGCTCCTCCACAGAGAAATTCAAGGCTATTAGACACGCACTCCCTCAATTTCACACCCTTTTACCTAGAAAATGACTGTCCTTACCAATATCTTTGCCTCTTCTCCTCCAATGTCAAAAGAAGAGGTGCTGCCCTCCTTCCAAGACTGGCACTTCTGACCCGCCGTGTCCTCTGAGACCAAGCTCCACTGAGCATCTCCTCTCAAATATGTCTCTGATGCTTCCTCCTCCACTGACGTCTTCTCCTTAGCAAATGGACTCAAGTCTCTCCATCTGAAAGTGTCTCTATCTCTCTCTCACACTGCCACACACACACCCAAATTCACCCTTCGATGCTACACCTACAGTCCACTGTGAGGTAATACCTTCCCTCACTTACTCGTCAGTACTAGGCTCCTGGGAAGAGTTTCCGCTTTCTTTTTCTGTTTCATTTTCATTTTTTTTCGTTCTGTCACCAGGCTGGAGTGTAGTGGCACGATCTCGACTTTCACCTCCCAGGTTCAAGCCATTCTCCTGCCTCAGTCTCCCAAGTAGCTGGGACTATAGGCACATACCACTAGGACTGGCTAATTTTTTTTTAATTTTTTTATTTTTAGAGATGTGGTTTCATTATGTTGGCCAGGATGGTCTCCATCTCTTGACCTTGTGATCCGCCCACCTCGGCCTCCCAAAGTGCTGGGATTACAGGCGTGAGCCACCGCGCCCAGCCAAGTCTCAACTTTCCCTCCATCGCTCCTAAGCTTTCTTTACCTATTTTCTGAAATGGCTCTTGCCCTGTTATGAAATTAAGGCCGCACAGTCTGTGACCACTCTATAGCACTGGGCAATCTCAGCCTTTCAGACCTTCCTGAAACACTTCTTTGGGTTTCTACAACACTATTGTTTTCCTTTCTGTACCTCCGTGTGTGGCCACTCCTTCTCAGCCTCCCCTACTTCCACTCTCCAAGTAGGTGGGCCTCAACCACACTTTTATTATTTTATTTTTATTTTCTCATTTTTACATCGTGCCCGTGTTATCTAATCCATACCCACTGCTTCAGCTCTGAGCAATATGAGAAAAGCTCCCCACGCTATAGCCAAGACCTCTCTCCCAGCCCAACCCATTTGATACCTAATTGTCTAGCCAGGATTAAATAAGTGCAAAACCAAACTCGTTCTCTTTCTAACCAAGCCTGTTCTGTATTTCTCATCCTGGTGAATGGTACCATGAGCCACCTAGCCACCCTCCCCAGAACTTGGCGTTGTATTACGTGGGTCCCTTGTCCCTCCCTTCCTTTACACCATCATGTATACAGGGCTCATGAGTCTGTCTTCTTAACAGTTCTCAAATCCGCTCTTCCCTCTCAAATTCCACTATTGGCGTCTTAAAGGTCCTCATCGCTTCTTGCTGCCTGCCCTCTACAACGAACTAAGGTTTTTTTTTCCAAAACACAAATCATCCTGTTTCTTCTCTCTTGCACCCAGCACTTAGGAGAGAGGCTGGATTCCTCAGCACAGCACAGAGGACAGACCTGTGAGGCCTGGCAGGGCCCGTCACCCATCTTCTGCCCCTTTACCAGACAGGCCCTGCCTCTGCTTCTCTCCATTCTCCTGTGCCTTTCTCAATGTGCTCCCTGGTGTTGAGGGAGGACCCATCCTCTCTTATCCACCATCAAATCCCAATTCATCCTTGAAAGTCTGCTGCAGACACCCTCGCTCCACGCCGCCCTGATGCCCCTGAGCGGTTAGCTACATCTGGCTCTTCGCACATCTGTGCAGTCCAAGCCATAGCCGGCAGGCCACACGCAGCCCAGGATGGCTTTGAATGCAGCCCAATACAAACTTTCTTAAAACATTATGAGTCTTTTTTTGTTTTTTGTCTTTTTTTAGTTCATCAGATATTGTTAGTGTTAGTGTATTTTATGTGTGGCCCAAGACAATTTTTCTTCTTCCAGTGTGGTCCAGGGAAGCCAAAAGATTGGACACCCCAGCCTAAAACCTGTCACAATGCAGCTTCCTATCTCTTCATTGCACCATGAACTCTTTGCAAGGAGGCGCTTTTGTCTTTTTCACTTTTATTGCCAGAGTCAGCAAAGTGTCCAGCCATAACAAGCACTCAGCAACTGCTTGCAGAAGGAAGTAAGGAAGAAATTGGGCTTTATTATAAAGTACTCCCACAACTGGGAAATAAAATTATTATCTGAACATGACTAACAAAAATACACATATAATCACAGACTTTCTAATGGAAGAAGTCACCACTACTCTAAGAATATGCAAATCCTAAATCCTTCCCTTTTCTCTCAGTGCAACTCTTTCATAATTCTACCTCCTGTCTCCATGGCCTAGAAGCTGCCACCCATAATTTACCACTTCCGGCAACCTCCCACTAACTCCTGAACATCCTAGCCTCCTATCTGTCTGCCACGGCTTTCGGCAAACTGAGGCTAATCCAACTACCTACCTCCCTGCTCTCACAGCAAGACTATGAGCACGCTGGAGGAAACCCACGCAAACCCTCAGGTTTGGGGCTGCGCAGAATCACACTCTACTGCCCCAGATGATCCTTTGAAATTATAGGGCAATATTTCATGTGTTTTTCATTGACCGTCATTCCTGTTCCCCAAACCTGTCTCTCATATTTTCAAGCTCCCAGCCCCCGGCCTGATGCTTCCCCACCCACCACATTCTTCTCAGCAGAAAACCCTACCTCCTCCTTTCCTGCACAAGTTGAGGACATCATGTGGGCGTCTCTTTAATTTCCTAGACACCCACTCCCTAGCCTTACACACCTTTTTTTAATGCAGTTTCAGGAAGAGGTGGCTTTTCCTCATCCAGTCTAACAGCACCTCTGCATCTGACTCCCTCTGTCTCCATAGAAACGTGACTTACTCCCTGTCCTCTTTCTCCTGAACCTACTACCGACTGGCCCATTCCCCTCATGCCTCTGATATCTTAAAACCAAACAAACCCAATGAATGAAACCTCCCTCCAGTCCTGAGTCAACTTCTAGCTTCCATTCCCTGCCCTTCCATTTCCCTTCACAGTCAAGTGTCTTTAAAAACACTTTTTGGAAATATCTCAAACGTTTCAGAAAAGTAGGGAATGATCCAATGGTCATCATTTCATGTTGCTGTTCCCTAGCAAAACAAGACAACTGGGGCTAAAACTCCCCCAAGCCCCTCCCCAGTCTCATTACCTTTCCTCCTTCCCTAGAGGCAACCACTGACCCAAAATTAGGCTTCCTATCCTTGATTATGCACTTCTACTGCAGCTGTTTCTATAAATATGTAGTACTGCTTTTCATGTCTGTACATTTACATAAGTGACATCATATTCCTCATATTCTGCCACTTGCTTTTTACTCAACATTATATTTTCAAGATTTATCCTTGTTAATACATATAGCTCCAGTTCATTTTAATTTTTGGCGAGTGCTCCGTTATGCGATGATCTACTACCATTTGGTGTCTAGTTCCTCAGAAGAGCAGTTTCTATGCTCTGCTCTTCCTAGGCCTCCTCCCCCATCCCCCTTTTACCTCTCCAGCCTGTCTTTGGCTCTTCTCACACCACTCAAACTGCACTTGTCAGGGTCCCCAGTGACCACATGGCCGCTAAAACCAGAGGACACTTTCAGCCTTTGCAACATTCTTCTCTAGATTTCCTTCTCCTGGGGCTCTCTCTTCCTTCCTTCTCCCTCTCTGAGTTCTCAATCACCATGTCCTTCGTTTCAATTAGGTCAGGGAGATTTTTGTCCCCAAGGACATCTGAGAATGTCCAGAGATATTGTTGATAGTCACCACTGGAATAGAGGTGCTACTGGCATTTGGTGGGCAGAGGCCAGGGATGCTGCTCAGCATCCTACAACACACAGGACAGTCTCACAGCGCAGCAGATCATCCAGCCCCCGACCGTGAGCAGTGCTGAGGCTGAGAGCCCCTGGTCTAGATGTTGCTCTTCTACGAGGTTCTGGTCTGAGCCCTCTTCTCTTCCTAGTCTCCACTCTCTTCCTGGGTCACCTTGCCTACTCTTGGAGCCTGCAGAAATAGCTGGGCAGGCTCCGATTTCCTAGGATTCCCAGAGATCCCACTAAACATGCACTGAAGACATTTCCAGCCCAGCAGCTTGCCTGGAGGGCTGGACTCACCCGGACGCTGGGCCGCTCTGGAGGGACCTCGGACACCATGTTGTGGTTCGGTGTGTCACTGTTGGTGGTAGCCGGGCGTTTCCCACCTGTTTTACTGGACATGTCCAAGGCCGATCTGATTTCAAGTTGACCGGAAAAAAGAGACTGGTGAGAGCCAAGAAACAATGGAAACCACCCATCCCTTTACCACACCCTGCCGCCTACTGTTTCAGCATCAGCACAAAATTAGATCTGAGTGCCAGTGAGGGGTGATCTCAGCCACTCCTTCAGCCCTTCTGAAATTATATGCCAGTGATCTTGGACATTGGACATTTTATTTATTTTTTGAGACAGGGTCTTGCTCTGTCACCCAGGCTGTAGCACAGTGGCACAATCAGGACTCACTGCAGCCTCGAACTCACAGGCTCAAGTTATCTTCCCACCTCAGCCTCCAGAGTAGACGGGCCCACAGGCATGGGCCACCATGCCCAGCTATTGTTTTTTCCCTTAACAGAGACGGAATCTCACTCATTTGCCCAGGCTGGTTGTAAACTCCTAGACTCAAGTGATCCTCTCGCCTTAGCCTCCCAAAGTGCTGGGGTTACAGGCACAAGCCACCTGTTTCCAGCTTTGAACATTTATTTTCAAAGTCTAGGCCCTGGACTTTTAAAATAAATAATAATAAGTAGAACCTTTTCCTCTACTTTAAAAGACACAACAGCCCAGTGGCCTATGAGAGTGAATTAATTAGCCTCTTCTCTTCTTTTCTCCTCTCATTCGGTGAGCCAGAATCCGCAGTGAGAGGAATTAGCATTTGGCTCTCATGACCATATCAGATTTTCTCAGCTCTTCCCTCAAAGGCCCCCTGAGTGCTACGCCAGCCTCACACCTGTCTTCTATTCCATCAGCTCAACCTGCGGGGTGCACCCACCTGGCTTCTGCTAGACCCTGGGAAAAGTGGATGAGGGTGTCAAGCCAGATGGGTCTCAGATGCTTCCAGTCCTCAGAACCAAGGTGGGTGCCTGCAAAGCCCTTCTGCTCTCCTTCCCTCCCCGTTGCCTTCTGCTTCCCAGCTGCAAGGAGGCAGCGGGATGGTGGTGGCTAAGGACAGAAAGGCCAAACGGCAAGTAGGGGGCAAACTTACATTTTCAAGTCAAATTTTTTGTTTTCCTCTGGGACCTGGCCAGTCACTGGGTGTAGAAATGTGTTCCGTCTTTCATTGTGGCTGTAGAGGGGAAAAAAGAGACGTTGTGGCAAAGATGAAGAAGGCAGAGACAAAAGCCAATGGGCAGTAGACCCTGGGTGGTGACAGGGACAGGTGACCATGTAAGGAGCTTGTGCCTCTGTCCTCCAGTGGGATCCATGGGAGGTCTGGGCTGACATCCAGATGAGGCTGGGGGCAGGGAGTAGGGAAAGGAAGAAAGGAAGCCTGATCACCTTGTACTAGTCAGTGCTAACTACTTACTAGAGATCTCTGAGGCGGACATAAGCCACACTGAACTCTTTCAGTGGTGATCCTAAGGGTGGGGAAGAGGGGTTCCAGCAGCCAATTCAGCACATCAGGACCTCACGCATGGCAGGTTCTCTCCCGGGAACGGTGCCTGCCAGTGCGCCATAGAAAAAAAATGCTCCCTTATTATTTGCTGAAAAACACTTTCTTGTGACCTTGGACTCCTCCTCCTTATCCTGCTTTATGCTCCATGCTCCGTCTCTTTCTTAAAAGGAAACGAGAGCTTGAAAAACTCCATTCTTGAGCTTGGGCTTGGACACACCCATCCCCTAAGTCCAGGGTCTCCTGTCTAAGGGCTGCTTGATGTCACTGAGACCTCAGGGGCTGTCGGGCATGAAGGTCAGTGCTGGCTCAATAGTCGATCTCATTAAGGGATGCTGTGGCCAGGAGTGGGGTAGGGTGTTGTGAGGACGGCCTGCCAGGAAGCAGAAGGGAGCAGGAACCAGGGGTTGGGGGAAGGGGGGTAGGTGCAGAGAGAGATGGGGAGCAGCATTGTGGAGGCTCCTTGGGAGGCCCTGCTGTGGCTCCTCCAGCTGACTAAGTGTCAGGACAGTTCCCAGGAGGCTCTCAGGGGAGATGGGGAGGAAGGCAGCAGACAGAATGCGGAGGAGCTGATGCAGGGGGTCTAGGCCACAATGGCAACCACTGAGATCGATTCTGTAGGCAGCAACTACTTGGCAAGAATGTAGCAGTGGAGATTCTACCATCCAGCCAGTGGGGAGACTCGATGAGTTAAGGTCCTCTTCGCCCATCCCGCTTGAGGGAGAACCCAGAGTCAGTGCCAGTCTACTGCAAGGAGCAGGCACTAGGACAGAGGCCACGGAGACTGGGCCACTCAAGCACACCCACAGCAGAGGGCTGGCTCTGCTTGACAAGTGGCAGGTCAGGCAGCAGCAGAGGAAGGAGATCTTAGCTTAGTCCCTTCAGTTGCAACAGAAAAGGAAAATAACCTTTTGGGGACCCCCTTTCAACAGCCCAGAACACATCCTAGCCCTGGGGCAGTCTGCTAAAGCTAAAGATAATATCAAACAGTGCTTTTTCAGTTTCCAAAGCAATCATGCTCAGATCTAATCCAAAGACATGCAGGAAGATAAAAGCACAGCAGGCAGTGCCTACAGTCTATGTGGAAATCTGGGCTTTGCAGCCCAGGCTTGCCAGCCAGGACCCAAAATCATGCACATGTCCGCCAGGCCTGGGTTCTGAGTCTAGCACGTTGATCGGCCACTCCCTACTTCCCAAACGTTATTCCCACCTCCCTCCCAGGTCCAACAAGCACATGCTCCTCAACTTCATCACAGGGAGTCTTTGCAAGGAAGGGTAGCTGTTTCCGGTTACCCTTGTCTGCCCCTGAATCTGTCCCCTCTGAGGGCCTGGGGGGCAAGCAGTCTGTGGCAACTAAGGTGTCCTGTGAGGTGTCAAGTTGTCTACTTTTTCCTAGTGGCACAGGGCACCTGCCCCTGCCCCGGCCCTCCAGTCTCCTTCTGCTCTGCATGCTCCCGATGGTAACTGCTGAAATCTTCCCTGCAGGCACTGGCACAGACACACACACACACAGAAACACACACACAGTCTGCTGCCAACCATCACAAGACTTCTAGGGAATGGCACATCTCTCCCTGCCCCAGACTTTCCTACCCAGCAACCCCTACAAATGACGTCCTCATTCTATCCCGGCACTACCAATTTCAAAATAGCTTCCCCTTCACGAGCACTGCAATGCAGCAACCATTGACCTAACTGTGCTTCCTTCTCCAGGTCATCTCAAGCAGGCCCCTCACTCTGAAGCCCCCCGATCCAAGCAGGATGAGCTGCCATCTCAGCTTGCTCTGACTTAACTTGGCTCATGATCCGTGGAAGAAATCCCTACCTGACCCGTCGATCAGCCCGAAACTTCAACATCTTTTTGGCAGCTCCGTCCCCAGGTTGGCAGCCTCAGAGGACCCGCTGACCACCCCGCTCCTACCATGCCTCTGAGAAGTAAGTCCTCCGGTCCAACTTGTAAGGCTGTGGCAGAGATGCAGAGCGATCGGTGGCAGAGACTCCAGCAATTCCCCCTCCTCCCGGCTCTGGCCCTGGAGAACCAGGAGGGCACTCTCCTTGGGTGGTGGTGGGGTCGCCCAGGTGCCCCAGTAGGCCTGTGACTTCCTGGGATTCGGCCAGAATGCTACTGGTCAGAGGACTGGAGGCAGAATAAACAAGGAGGGGATGACATCCTCCCCGTTCAGCTCCCCAAGGAGAAAATGCTGAAATGGAGAGACAGGCATACACAGAGCAGGTGTAGCACTCCCAGGTAGTCCGACCTCACTGAGCTAAGGACGCAGAGTGGCTGGGCGGGCGAAGGAGTCTGGGGCTGCGTTCCCATCTGCACGGCAGAAACTCATGACAGCCCGACCTGCAGGGAGACAGTCCTCCTGCCTCCCCAATTCCCAAGCCACAACACAGGCTCCTGAGCTGAAAATCAACTTGCTTCTCGGAGATCCTTCAGATCCTGTGGCCATAAGGGTTAAATGAAGCTCCAGATTCATCTGCTGTTATTGCCGCCGCTGAGAAGCTGAGATTGATTGAGCAGGTCTCCTTCTCTTCTGTCAGCCTGCCCAGCCTTCTTCTGTGTGGACGGGAGCATAATGAATGAAGCTCCTCTGCCCCCCGTCCCTGACATGCTGCTGTCTGACAGCACCGGGTTGCTTTCCCTCCGTGTGTGGCAAGTCGACCAGATGGGCGTGGACGTTGTGGAACCAGAGCTGGTGGCTAGGATGAGGCTGCTCAGGCAATATTAAAGGAGAGCTTCCTCCCAAGGCTTGCGAGGAAGAGGGCAGCAAATGGGGCTTGAGAGGGGGTCATCGTGTGTTTATGGCTGAAAATCTTCCCAGACACGAGATGATGCATTCCAGCTGGTGACTGACAGATCTGCTCAGCAGCAAGGAGGTTTGCATCGATGTTAATTCCCCTGAATTCTCCAGTGGCTAAAGATGGTCAGAGCTCCCCTTTCCTAATGTCCTTCATGTCTTAGGATCCTTGGACTGCAAGGGCCTTCTGAAAGTCATCGCTGCCATCCCCCTGCTTCTAGACAAGACTGTTCTCCAATCAATCCTCATTAAGTTCTTTGCTTTTCTGTAAAGAATTCTAGCAAAGGAGGCTCCAGACCCACTGCTATCTTATCCTGCCAAGATGTTCTTTTTGATGTCACATTTCAGGTCCTCTGGCTTTCTATATTATTCCATTTTGTCTTCACATGACAGGTTCCTTTTTTGACCAACATGGTTCTTTTTAGCAGCATCAGGCAGTCTGCTGACATCACAGTCTGTTGCCATAGCAATTCTGTGATGTCACAACAGACACTGAAAGGAAGGGGCTAATCTAATTTTTTGGATTGAGCACAGAACTTGATCAGGGAATAATGTGATCAGTGAATGGAAAAACAAATAGACAACATTATTATTTAACCCATAATGAGACAAGCTGGTAAGATATAGCTGGGGTCAACCGCTGCTCATATTTAAACAGCTTAATCTTAAATCCAGAAGGTCAATATATTCCGCTATTTCCTGGGACTTTGGCAAATGATTTATCCTGGTGACAGGAGGCCTCACTTTTCAGTTTGCATCCTCTCCCTGTCCCTAATCCAGTTTCTTGGGCACTCTCCTGATGCCCGCTTGAGGTTCCTGCCCGTGCGTAATATGTGCTCAATAAATATTTGTTGAATGAGTGAATAAAAGAAATTCTCCAGCCCTGACTTAATTTTTAGCCACCTGCATTTGGGCGTTGACATTCTATCACCAAGGGCTTCCCTATCTTAGCTCTCTCTTCAAATTAATTACTTCCTCTCCCTGAGAGAAGCTCTGCTTCTGCCCCCTCGCCCCCTCACTCAGCTTCCCTCCCTAGCTCCCCACTGAATATGTAGCTTGGCTTTGATCCACCTTCAGTAGGAGGGGAAGAAAATTAAGCTCATCTGCACAGAAGGAGGAGGGGGTAGGGGTGCTTTGGGAAAATGAGCTTTCTTCCTCTAGAAGGCAAAAATATCCCCTTTCTCTTCAAGCTGAGCTCAGGGGCCTCCCACAGCCTTTGCTTAAGCTGCAAGTTAAATTACTTCTCCTATGCCCTGTAAAGATAGCATGAGGGAGTAGGAACGAAGGAAGGCTCAGGGGCTTCCCCTGCTCATCGGGAGCTCTGAAATCCTCGGAATTAAGTCTGCACACAGAATGTCTAGCGGGGGCTCTTTCCCTTTGCCAATAAACTGCACAGTATGGCAGATTTTCATTTTAGTTATACACCAAGAAGAACTTACAAGAGGCAGGACGTTAAAAAGGGAAACAGGCATACGTAATCCGTGTTCTCCTTCCTCTCTCTTTCCTTCTGGGATGTCAAAAGGCTTCCATTTGTCAAGTACCCATGATTATGAATCCAAGAATACATATTCAAATGGATCTCTCAAATCCCACCCAAGAGAAGGGAAAATCTCAGGCGGTAAAGGGGATTGTGTGGGGGGGGACGGAAGCAGCCCTAAACTCCAGGGCAGTCCAGTAGGTGGTCACTTATCCACCATGAGGCTGGCCCCGAAGGCAGTGCCATCAATGGAAACAAGCATGGCGGGGCCAGACATGAAGTCCAAGATCCAGCCTGAGTTAGCAATGTGACTTCATGTCATGGGCCCTTCATTTTCTCGTGTGTAAATGAGGTACCTTCTACCCATATGAAATAACAGTGTTCGCTTCACCAGCACATATATTAACTCTATGAAATAATAGCTGTAAACTTTCAAAAATGTAGACCATCTTATGCACAAGAGATCATGGCTATGATCATTCTACTTAAAAACAAATTAAGAACTATGCCAGATGCAGGAGCGAAAAAGTGAAAAACACATAGTCCAGGGCTTAAGAAGACTGTGTATGGGGCAGGGGCTGGGAGTGTCAGGGGCAGGCACTCTGGAAGTCCCAAGACCAATATATTAGAAAGAAAAAAAGCAGATCCTCTCCATTTTCCAAGCCTTTGTCTCTGCACCTACTTAAAGCTTTCCTGTAGTTCAAGAGACATCCTCAGCCCTACAGCACCTCACATAGAGAGAACTCCACAGTGCTTTATCTCCCAGCGTCCCCCTGGAGAGTCACATCCACGTGCTGTATACCTGGCACTACACTGTCAAGAGTGACAAAATTAACCCAAGTTTCACACTCTTCTGCAGGCATGCGTGTTCACACATGCGCACGTGCACTCACACCCCCAGGCTGAATGCCCGGGACTCCCACTGTGATCAATATTGAACGACTAGAGAAATACTCCATTCCTTCCACCCACTGGGCCTCTCTTGATTATCTGCTGTACACCAAGCTGCTTCATTTCCATAGCTCCTGAGAATCTGCTGACAAGGAATTAGCCCAGCCTGGCTTCCCCATCCTGAGGGCGTCTTGGCTTCCAGCATTACAGCTCATTAGGTGGAGAGAGGTTTGCATGCAAAGCAAGTGGAAAGGGGTCCCATCCCTCCTACTTCCTTCTTTCTCCAGATAGCAAATTCCAAGCCGAAACCGTCCACGCTCCAGGGAGGATTTCTGCTGCCACAGAGGAGGGGAGGGTGGGGAGCGGGTTGGCTCCTGCTCTGCACCTCCCTCTCTGGATCTCATCATTATTTTCAAGGAGCCTTATCTGCTCCAGCATCCTGTCCCAATTAAAAACCAACTCAGTTTTTGTTTCCAGCCATCTTCATGCATCTGATTCCTGAAGCTCCCTCTGCCATTTCCGGGAGAAAATATACTTTCCTAACCAACTTCTCATCAAAGGCCCTCTGTTTTCCCACCTATTGCTGCCACAGAAAGAAGAGGTCAAAGAGAATCAGGCCTTGGCAGCACCTCTAGGTATTTGCAGGTGGGAAGGAGCCTCTCCAAACACTGCCTTAGCCAGGCATGGTGGCACATATCTGTAGTCCCAGCTACTCAGAGGCAGAGGCAGGAGGATCACTTGAGCCAAGGAGATCAAGGCTGCAGTGAACTATGATCGCACCACTGAACTCCAACCTGAGGTGCAAGACCCCCGTCTCTAAAAAACAACAGAGCGAGACCCCCAATCTCTAAAAACATCAACACCCACTGTCTCTCCTCCATGTGCTCCTTGGAGATCAAAACACCAGTTCTCCAGGTGCCAGTGGCTGCCGCCCAGCCTTGCACTGGCTCCCTCCTTTCTTCTCTGCCCTAGCTCATTCCCCCCTTGGACACCACAGTTATTTCCAGAAGGGAAAGAAGATGGCACCTCCCTACCCCAAGCAAGTTTGTTGGAATATCCTAAGCTGCTGGGCTGCATGTCTAGGAGACAAGCCCCATGCTGCTCCCTTTCCTGCCGAACTCTGCCCATCCTCACCACAAACCCAGCCCCATCCCAAAACCTGTTATGACTAGTTATGGAAGGCTGCGGGGGCTCTACGTGAGCTCAGCTCCCACCACAAATGGAAGATAGAAGAGAGGGCTTCGTGGAGGGAGGGAAATCACAAACCAGGGGGCCAGGTCCAGGTTTCTTCCTCCCTTCCAGCCCAGGCACTGTTCCTCCCCCCATTCTCTGACTGTAGTGTCTCCCAGCCCCTGCTCTGGGCCTGGGTGGTCCCTAATTCCTATGAGAGGAGGTAGGGAGCCCTAAGTTGGCAGGCTGAGGGCAGGAGGGCATGGGGTACTTCAGTCATGGTAATGGGTTCAAGCTCGTGTGCGCGCACGTGTGTGTGCAGGAGAGAAAACATGGAGATCACGCAGGAACTTCATTCTGATCTCCCACCCTAGCTTAGTTCATCTTTAAACTGGATGTCTTACTTTATGGAATCCCATTTGTCTTCTGAAAAATAAAGACAACCAGAGTAGATAGCATAACTGTGCCAGTGATTCAAACACTGAAGCCCTTCCATGTTGGTGGGGGAGGAGCTGCTCCCCAAGTCCCCCAAGTTTCCCTGTCCCACCTCTGGGCCAGGGCCTGAGACCTCCTCACATCACCATGATCCAGAGAGTAAAGAGTTAATGCCTGGCCTCACAGGGCCTTCCAGAACTCCAGGCCAGCATCCTTTCTGGCCGATGAATTATTGAATATCACTGCTGGGTACAGCCAGGCCTTAATTGCCTCAACACTGAAGTGTCTTCCAATTGTGGGGAACTGCGATTCTACCGTTCTACCCATGGGCAGGCTGGGAGGCACTTTCTCCTTCACCCTGACCCGACTTGGAGAACTGGGGTGACCCAGCTCCCTGGAGCTCCTCAGGCTCCTTGTGCTGTGTGCTCTTGTTTTGTTCCCTTCTAAAGAGAGGGGGAATTCAAAGGAGAAGCAGCTGCCTACAGCTCTGGGTTTTCCTCCTCTCAGACTTCCCTCAGTAGCTAAGCCAGACAGAAGCAGAGAAAAAAGGCTCCAGGCCCCTCGCCTCCAAGTTGCCTTCTCCTGACAGCCAGCAATGTGGAACGAATCCCAAGGGGTAACAGGGCAGGGCAATAATTAATTACACTCCCCCACTTCCAGCTCTGAGTTGAATCTCAAACCCCTGCCCTTCAGAGGCTGAGGCAGCCCAGCTGTCCGCCACCGGGTCTGCAGAAGGTCACCAGAACCAAGTCTCTGCATCCCTAACTCAGCAGATTTGCTTCTGATGTCCCCACCCTTCCCCGCCTCACGAAAGGAATTTTACTTAGTTTGGAGAGCTGTGAAGCTGGCTGATCCCTCTCCTTCCCCATCCTCAAAAGCTACCACTGCCTTCTTGGTTCCCAATCCAGCAACTTGAAAATCAAGCTGTCTGGTGCCTTAGTTTTCTCATTTTGACAGTAAAACAATGGTACTGAATGATGCCTTGTTCAGTAAACTACAAAAATTTCCCACTGGACCAGGCAGCAGAGGAAGAAAGGTTATGATGCTCTGAAGGCATGTGGAGCAAAGGGAAAAATAAAACTCATGCCATCTCTGTTCCTTATGCTGGGAGGGAGGCAAGAAAGGCCCGTTTCAGAGTCAGGGAAGCTGAGGTACACTCTCCCAGCTATAGCGACAGGAGAGATCAGACGAAGTTGGAGTCTCCTTGGGCTTCCTTCTTTCTGTCCCTGCTATGCACCCAATCTGAGCTCCTCATCTCCAGGAAAGCAGGAGAGCGCTTCCTTGTTCAGCAGGAGATGCCAGCTTTTCAAGGTCTGCTCCAAGAGCACAGTAATGAAAGCCACAAACCCTTTCACTGATAACATCTGTGGGCTACAGGTCTGGGGACTGTGTGTGATGTGGGCTGGGGGCTACCCACAAACGTTTGTCTGACCACAGCTGCCTGGATGCAGGGGCATGGAAGGGCAGCCGCACACACTGTCCACAGCCTGGCCTTTATTGCTGTGCCTGCCCAGCACCTCACACACAGAGGAACTGAATAACTTTAGGTTTGATGGGGCAGATGTAGAGCAGGCCAGCCAGCTCACCAGAGCCTGGAGGAGGGGCACGTGCTGTTCCGGTTGGGAGGCTGAGTAGCGGCTGAAGGAGCAGGAGCTCAGCCTCAGATCCCTCTAATGGGATCAGTGTGCATGTTGCATCTGCCTTGTGTTCCCTCCTGTCCCTCCCCTCCCTACTGGCCAGCCAGGCTATGATAAGAGTCTACAAAGCAGAAGCTTTGCCCGGGGAAGCGGAGTAAACAGGCTAGAGCAGGGAGGCAGCATGGTGAGGGTGGGGGGCAACAGCAGGCTCTAGTTTAGTTTTGCTTCTCACCTGCCCAGGGAGACCCACTCTGTCCCTGGCTCCCCGCCCCCAGGAGGGCTCAGCTGATCTTTTCTCTCAGACTGGGAGTAACGAGGTAAGCTGGATGCAGGTGGATTGTGGGAAATTTTAAACACCTCCTTCTGCCAGGAGCAAGGAGTCTGGAACGTCCCATGAACTTGGGGAGCCTGCCAAGGGCTGAGGGCACAACGATCATCCTGTGCGCTGCTGCCTGCTGCTGGGGGATCCAGAGGGAGCCTAGGAACAAGGGCCACCGTGGAACCAGCCGGAAAACGACTGTGCCTAGGAGAGCACGTGCTGTGGACTGAGACGATCCTTTGTGAGTTCCCCTGACGCCCCCGAGAGGAAGAGGGGGATTTGGAAAGGGACTTGGAGAGTTGTGAAAAAAGCTGGCATGTGATGGCAAGGAATGGACACTGTGCGGATTGTCCTTAGGGAAAAGGGTAAGGCCGGTGGTCTCAGTGTCAGTAGTCTTGGTAACTGACCACTACTGAGTCACTGTACCTTTCTGGGTCTCAGTTTCCTCACCCACAACATATAATGATACTGGGGTTGCTGGGAGGACTAACCAAGATCCCAAATGTAAAACCTCTAGAAGAATGCTTGGCACATAACCGTTGCTTACTAAGTGGCTAATATTATAATCATTAATACAATAATAAAATAAGGGAATAAAATGATAGCACTATCCTAAATTGGCATCAAGTTGATAGCTTCTAGCTGTATGTGGCTGTTCAACTTTTGAATAAAATTAAATAAAATCAAAATTTTAGTTCCTCAGTTACACTAGCCACATGTCATTGTGTCTCGGGAGCCACAGGAGCTAGTGGTTACCATACGGGACAGAATAGTCACAGCACGTTCCATTGATGCAGAACATTCTATTGGACAGCACGAGGCAAGAGATGCTCTAAGCCACATTCCAGTTCTAATAGTTTTGAATTCTATGACATGCGCTTCTAAGTCAGTTCATCTTTCCACCAGCGGATACGAGCCCAGGGTCTTCAGTAAATACAGTTCCCTCACAGTTCTAAGCTTAGCGAAAAGGAAAGGAAAATCGGCCGGGCACAGTGGCTCACACCTGTAATCCCAGTGGTTTGGGAAGCTGAGGCAGGTGGATCATGAGGTCAAGAGATCGAGACCACCCTTGGTGAAACCCTGTCTCTACTAAAGATACAAAAAGTAACTGGGCATAGTGGTGCACGTCTGTAGTCCCCGGGAGGCTGAGGCAGGAGAATGGCATGAACCCGAGAGATCGCGCCACTGCACTCCAGCCTGGTGACAAAGTGAGACTCTGTCTAAAAAAAAAGGAAAATCGCTCTTCCTACCGCCCAAGATGCCGAAAGGAAAGAAGGCCAAGGGGAAGAAGGTGGCTCCGGCCCCTGCTATCGTCAAGAAGCAGGAGGCCAAGAAAGTGGTGAATCCGCTATTTGAGAAAAGGCCTAAAAATGTTGGCATTGGACAAGACATCCAGCCCAAAAGAGACCTCACCCGCTTTGTGAAATGGCCCTGCTACATCAGGCTGCAGCGGCAGAGAGCCATCCTCTATAAGCTGAAAGTGCCTCCTGTAATTAGCCAGTTCACCCAGGTCCTGGACCGCCAAACAGCTACCCAGCTGCTTAAGCTGGCCCACAAGTACAGACCAGAGACGAAGCAAGAGAAGCAGCAGAGGCTGTTGGCCCGGCCCGAGAAGAAAGCGGCTGGCAAAGGGGATGTCCCCACGAAGAGACCACCTGTCCTCCAAGCAGGCGTCAACACCGTCACCACCTTGGTGGAAAAGAAGAAAGCGCAGCTGGTGGTGATTGCTCATGATGTGGATCCCATTGAGCTTGTTGTCTTCTTGCCTGCCCTCTGTCGTAAAATGGGAGTCCCTTACTGCATCATCAAGGGGAAGGCAAGACTGGGACGTCTGGTACACAGGAAGACCTGCACCACTGTCGCCTTCACACACATTAATGCGGAAGACAAAGGTGCTTTGGCTAAGCTGGTGGAAACTATCCGCACCAATTACAATGACAGATACGATGAGATCCGGCGTCACTGGGGAGGCAATGTCCTGGGTCCCAAGTCTGTGGCTCGCATCGCCAAGCTAGAAAAGGCAAAGGCTAAAGAACTTGCCATGAAACTGGGTTAACTGTATACTGTTTTCTTTAAATAAAAATAATTAATGCCAAAAAAAAAAAAAAAAAAAAGGAAAATCTGCTGTCAACGAGAAAAAGTTAAAAATGGTAGGTTCCAAAGTTC